GGAAAGAAGGTAGGATATGTTCACCACTTGAGTTTGTAAAAATAATAAGGGCGGGATGTAAATAAAATAAATAAAATTATCCTACTTTTTCTAGCTCTCTCTTGCTGATGCTATTGCTTCCATGACTTGCAAAGTGTCTACATCTTAACAAAAGGCAGGGCATTTTGGGGGCTGCTGCATCATGAACTGCATTGGATAAGTCAGTATTTCTCAACCTTGGCAACATTAAAATGTGTGGACCTCAACTCCCCGAATTCACCAGCTAGCCATGGTTGAGAAACACTGGGATAAAGATTGCAAAAGAGATGAATTTTGAAAATGGATGGAATTGGATTTATACAACAGCAGAATAAAAGCCATTATTACACTCTCCCCCAGAAGCTGTGAAAGCTGGCAGAGAGAAGTTTCTTAACGATGTTTATGCTGGGGCTTGATCACTTCTCTCCCACTCCTGTTATATTAGTGGAACATAAGATATTTGTGGTGGGATTAACAGGGTAAGTGAAACATTCAACAGGTGAATTAAACTGGCTAAAGATGGGCTTCAGAAAGCATTACTCCATTTCTGGGAATATTGACTTGATTGGTTGCAGGTCATATGAGCTTTTGATGTAGGTCCAGATTCAATTTGCAGACATGGCTAGTATTTTAGTTGACTTCTTAACTGTCCTTAGCCAACTGGTTGGAGGCCACAGGGGGAATGTAGCATGAATTGATCATGTCCTCCTTTGTGAGATCAATCCTTGCACCTGTGAAGTGGCCCTTGAAGGCCTGTCTCTTCTTGGCTAGAGTCCCCGTGCTATAGCGACTGTGGCTGTCATGCTGTGCAAAACAAGATTCCCGCAGATCCATGGGATTGGAGGTTTCCATTACAGCCATGAATGTCCCAAGGAGATACAAATAAAACTATATTCAGGACCTCACAGCGTTAAGAAAAGGGATCCTGAAACCTTGTAGACCAGGGGTGTTGAACTCAATTTCATTGAGGGCCGCAACAGCATTGCAGTTGCCCTCGGGGGGCTGGGTGGGTGTGGCCAGGGTGGGTACGGCCTACTGGGTGGGCGTGGATGGAGTGGGTGTGGCCTAGGTGGGCGTGGTTTTGGCAGGCAGTGGGGTGCTCTCACAGCGCCGAGAGGTTGACCCGGGCGGTGTGAAGCTTGCCAACTTTGCACTTTGCTGCCTGCTGAAACAGGGCAGGCTGGGGGCTAGGCAGCATTGTACCAGATTCACGCCACCCAGCTCAGCTCTTGGCGCTGTGAGGAGAGCACCCCGCTGCCTGCCGAAACCCCTCCCCCTCAAGACGGATATGTGAAGTAGGCGAGGGCCATTTGCTGGCCACTTCCAGGTGATGGTGCATTTCTTCATTCCTCACAAAGGGTGACACCTCCCCAGCATGCACCCAGGGGGTGGGGCCGACGCAGCAGGGGCTGGTTCCTCACTGTTTCCAGACGGCCTTGTGGAGCTAAGACTGAATATGTTTCAGCATAGATGGCCACCACAAAATTGTACATTGGCTCCCGGCCGGCCTGGGCCAGGGCCAAGGCAGAGGGGGCCGTTCCCTCACTGTTTCCAGGATGGCTTTGCGGGCCACATGAAACCACTTTGCGGGCTGCATTCAGCCCCCGGGCCTTGTGTTTGACATGTCTGTTGTAGACGGTTTCAGTGAACAATTTTAAAAAGCTTGCTTACTAAGTATAGAGTTTGTCGAATGAACTTGGTAGTCGCTTCATAACTGCAGTGTTTGCTTAATGACCGCTGCCAAAAAAAGGTCATAAAATGGGATTGGTCGGGTAGGCAACTCATTTTGTGACTGTCATGATTTATGACCGTGATGGGCAAGCTCCATTATAGTTTTAAGTCGACAATCTGTAACCCCTGCGTTTTTTCAGAGGTGGGTTGCTATTGCCTGCTTTTTAAGTCTGAGATTAAGACAGGCTCAAGATCAACCATCTGGTTTTGGCTTATGGCAGAACTGCATTTATTACTCATTTCTGTTTAAATTATTGTTTTTGAACAGTTTCTGTTTTAAGCCAAATTCTAATTGTCTTAACTTGTTTTGTGGTATGATATGTCATGTATAAGGGAGCTATTCTTGCTTGAATTTAGTTAGACTTTTATGAATTTAGTTAAACTCCCCCCCCATTGCTCCATATGCTCCAATTTTGGTCCTTCAGTTGTATTCCCTACAATTTTTTGGGGGGGGGGATGATTAATTCTTGGCACTATTGGCATATATCTTAATAAATTGTGACGCTTTTCATTTGTAGTCTCTGGAATCATGTCTAATAAAAATCATGCATAGCTTCAATTCAGATTTTACTTTTGGAATTTTCTGGATGTTTTGGTGTATTTCTTTCCAATATTTTGGAGTTTATTTTGCATGACCACCACAAATGGTAAAATGTTCCTTTTCGTTATGGCATTTCCAACATTTATTGCTCTATGAATGTTGTCCACCATGATAGCCAGTAGATGCCTTCAGAATCCTACAAGCAAGGCACCAACAGAGTAGTAGTGCTCTTTAGAAATTAATATTGTGAGTCATACCATATCAGGACCACTATGATATATTAGTTGTATGAGAAGGTTTCAATTATAAACATCCAGAAGACTTGTTTCAAAATTAAGTGCGACAGACAGAAAAAAAGCAGCCTCTGTCTGCTTGAATCAGATTGAACCCACAGGAGTTTGATGAGAAACCCTTGTATGTTTTCTTTAGTGGAGTAAATATCTCGCCTTCATTGTAAGATTAATTTAATTTGGTTTCCTGTTCTCTACAAACAACATCAAAATGGGATTGTGCATGCTGCTTCCAGATAAATCTTTGTAGTTTGCAGAATTTATATGCGTGGCTCATTACCAAAGCTTACCCTGGTTTCCATATGAGATATTCCTTCAATCAGTACTTTCCCTTTTCTTGTTTCTGTTTGGTTTCTCACTGAATGGAAATAATTTGTTTAAGGCGGAAAGACGGAAAAGAAAGATGAGCAGCTTTGATTTCAGAAGTCTGTAGTGGAGAAGAAAGGATTACTCCTTTCACAGATATTGTACAAAGATAAATAGTGTCAGTCCTAGCAAGCTAGAATAGAATAGAATAGAATAGAATAGAATAGAATAGAATAGAATAGAATAGAATAGAATATCTGGAATGGAATAGAATAGAATAGAATAGAATAGAATAGAATAGAATAGAATAGAATAGAATAGAATAGAATATCTGGAATGGAATAGAATAGAATAGAATAGAATAGAATAGAATAGAATAGAATATATGGAATGGAATAGAATAGAATAGAATAGAATATCTGGAATGGAATAGAATAGAATAGAATATCTGGAATGGAATAGAATAGAATAGAATAGAATAGAATATCTGGAATGGAATAGAATAGAATAGAATAGAATATCTGGAATGGAATAGAATAGAATAGAATATCTGGAATGGAATGGAATAGAATAGAATAGAATAGAATAGAATAGAATAGAATAGAATAGAATATCTGGAATGGAATGGAATAGAATAGAATATCTGGAATGGAATGGAATGGAATAGAATAGAACAGAATAGAATAGAATAGAATATCTGGAATGGAGTGGAGTGGAGTGGAGTGGAATGGAATGGAATGGAATAGAATAGAATAGAATAGAATAGAATAGAATAGAATAGAATAGAATAGAATAGAATAGAATAGAATAGAATTCTTTATTGGCCAAGTGTGATTAGACTTACAAGGAATTTGTCTGTCCAAATAGGAAGGACAGATACAATGTCAGAGAAGATCTGCTTTCTGGTCCCACTAGATTTTTAAGGGTTAACACCAACATTTTGTTCAGTAATGGTGAAAATTATTGTAATAGACATTATTAATTGGCCTAGTTTAGTAATTCTCATTTGGGTTAGTGAAGATTTTGAGCACTTTTCAAAAGCAGACTAGTATGTTTTTTGTGGGGGGTGTCTTTGAGTCAGTATTGGCTTCTGATGACTGCCTGGACTAGACCATTGTCTATTATATTAGAGTAATCTCAGTGTCATGTGCTGGGAAAATCGGGAGATTCAGGCAGTTCAAATGAATATGAAGATTTATTGCAAGCTTAAGCTCTCTACAATAGTGGTTCTCAACCTTTTTAATGCTGCGACCCCCAACCGGTCGTAAGTCGAGGACTACTCAACCGGTTGTAAGTCGAGGACTACTCAACTGGTGCAGCACCGTTTGCAGAATGGGACTTTTGGCGGGCTCAGCAGGGCAGAGACAGCCTGGACAATTCCTATTGGCTTTTGAAAGCCAATAGAATTAGACTCTATTCAAGAGAGTCTATTCTATTGGCTTTCAAAAGCCAATAGAATAAAAGGGAGTAGCACAGCTAAGGAAAAGGGGAAAAAATGGCGGACTGCATTGTTTGGCGACCCCCGTGAAATGGTCGTTCGACCCCAAATGAGGTCCCGACCCACAGGTTGAGAACCACTGCTCTACAAGAATCTGAGCTACTAACAGTCAAGGGAAATGAATGGGAATAAGAAAGGCATTCAAGGTGGGCTGGATGTAGATCTCACGGTCATGCAGGGACTCGTGATTGATGACATGTTTGACCCCTCCCTCAGGCTCAATCTGGTCGTCTCCTACATCCAGTTGAAAAAAACACCATAACTAATGCAAATTATTTCTCCATCGTCCTTATCTGGCACCAGTATATTGGCTGAAACTGATATAAAATAGCCCTGACCATCAGTATTAATCTTATTTTTTGGTAGCGGTGTTGGATCCAAGAGCTCTCTGAAACAGCATGTTTGAATTTTCTAAAGAAAGCATAAAGGAGATGCTCTTGATGAAAATATGTGGATTCTCTTAGTTAATATTCAATTTGTTCTATAGTCTTCCTTATCTTTGCTAACAGTTGGGGTTTGTGGTTATCTAATGCCCTTTTAAAGGAATGTTGGGATGTACTTTTGGTTTTCAGTCTAAGAAAAGCTCTTATCCTGTCCCTTGTTTTTGGTTTTTCAGTATTTTGTGAAGAAGAGGACAGCTTCTTGTGCAGAAGTGGGGTTTGCGTCCCAAGGATTCTGCAGTGCAATGGCTTTAATGATTGTGATGACTGGAGTGATGAAATACATTGCAGTAAGTTACCTAAAGTGTCAGAATAGAGATATCAGCCCTTCAGAGTAGTCCAGATGAGAAGCACAAACTAGGAGTACTAACATTACCTTTGTTGTACAGGTAGTCCTCGACTTACACAACAGTCGGTTTAGTGACCGAAGTTACAGTGGCACTGTAACATGACCATTTTTCACATGTGAGCACTGCACGGTCATATGATTTACATTCAGATGCTTGGCAAAGAACTCATATTTATGACGGCTACGGTGTCCCAGCGTCACCTTTTGCGACCTGACAAGCAAAGTCAGTGGGGAAGCCGGATTCACTTAACAACTGTTTTAGCTTGAAGCTGGATTCACTTAACAACTGTTTTAGCTTGAAGCTGGATTCACTTAACAACTGTTTTAGCTTGAATTAACCGCCAAGTATATAGCATCCCTATGAAAAGCAGTAGGAGAAGTTGAAGCTTTTTCCCTTTTTATTGTAGTTTCAAACTTTACTTGTTAGTTATGCTGTTGAAAGAATGAAACGAGCGTTACTTTTAAACGTTATCTAATAATTTCGTAAAATAGCAGAAATGAATTAATATTTTGCTTGGGGCAAATGGACTTTCTTACTTCAAAGTTTTTGTAAACATATATATATTTCTGTTTTGCAGATTGCAGTGAAGAGCTTTTCCGCTGCCACACGGGAAGATGTGTCAATTACACCTTCGTTTGTGATGGTTATGATGATTGTGGAGATCTGAGTGACGAACAGAACTGTGGTAAAGGAAAAACGTATTTTAAAAACTTGGAGGAAGTGGTTTAATCCCAAAAGAGCGGGATACAGGCACTGTTAAATGATACGCAGTACCACAGAAAGTTATGCTTGTTCTAAAAATCGCAGCTCCCTCTTTCCAGATTCAATTCTGGAGCAGACAGGAGCCAAGAACTGGCACAGAAGCAAGAATTAGCACTATATGATCATACAGATCAAAAGGTTTAAGCTTGTTCTTCATGTTCTCTGCGTACTATTCAAGTCTCAATGGAGAGGCCTATGGCTCTTTTATGACTCATGGACTTCAACTCCCAGAATTCCTGAGCCAGCATGGCTCAGCTTGGAAACCTCTCCCTTTCCCCTCAGCATGACTGGCTCAGGAATTCTGGGAGTTGAAGTCCACGAGTCATAAAAGAACCAAGGTTGCCTATCCCTGGCCTATACAAATTTATATATATACTCTACAACTGTAAGAAATTTATAAGACAGACTGTAGCTATGTTATGTACTTAACATAATTGTTTAGCAAAGTGGTATACTACATTAGTAAAAACCTGTATAATAATTTCGTAATTATTAATAAAATATCATAAAATCCTAGGAGACTTTTATATTTAGAATTTCCTTCAGTTTCTTTTTATGAAATTGGATTGAGCAGGATTGATAAACAAAGGTAATCTTGATTGTAATCATTTTGGCATCAGCCTTTGACCTGGAAATCAGCCATAACTTGCATAATCAGGAGAATAGTTACCATGTATATATGCCCCATTAAAGGAAATTGGAAAGACTTTATTCAGAATATTCACATTATAAATGTTCAGCAATGGAGGAATAAACAAGTAAAAATCAATATATGTCTTACATATTTGAGCAGGATGTGCATCAGGATCAAGCAGCTTTTCCTGCTTCCACTATTTAATAATATATATTGTTTCCTGAAGAAATAAAGATACAGCCTCTTTTATCCTGCTAGACTTTGTACCATAAACATTTGCAAAATAGAGATGCCTCTTCTAACATGGAAAATACATTGATAGGGGGAACTATTGTAGTTCTTCATATCTTATAGTTCATTTAAAATAATCTACACAGTAAGAAATTCTGTACTTACAACTGGGTCTCCCAAACTCTTTTTCTTTCTGTTATGTTTGCAATTCCATATATACTATTTCCTGGTGCAATTTTGATCCAAGGCGCTGTTACTTGTAAAGGATAAAAAACAAGCCCGAGTACTTGTATTTTTTTTCTCTCGTTTCCAATGAGTACCATCTTTATTGAATGGTGCAGACTGGGCACTGCTTGCTTTTAAAGGTGCCACAGTAGTTGACACCAGGCAATCTGTATTGCAGACAGTACTGTAGGGGATTAAAACAGTTTGTTTTTCAAAGACCAGATTTGCAAGCATGAATGATGCTTTTAAAAATAATACAAAGCACTTTTAAAAATAATAATATTAGAAAACTCAGCAACTTTGAAAATAAGGTATTTTGAGGTTGGGACAAGCATTTTAATATTATATATAATTTACTTAATATTTTATCAGCAACATATTGTCTGGGTTTCCAATATTTAACTTACTAATACATGTTAAATTCCTTTCTCTCTACCTTGTTTTTCTAGCCATTGATAAAAGGTGTCCCATGTTCTAAAGTATACTGAATCTTCTTTCTCTTTCATTTTCAGTGTCAATCTATCCATTTCTGCACAATCTAAACATTTTTAATTAACTCTTCCTCCGTTGGTAAAGTTTCATTTTTCCAATGTTGAGCAAATACAATTCTCGCTGCAGTTAATACATGTAAAATTAGATATATACACTCTTTCTCATAGTTTCCTACAATTATGCCTAACAAAAATAATTCTTGCTTAAAATCTATATGTTTTTTAATAATTTTCTCTAACCATATATGTATTCTTGACCAGAATCCTTTGGCGCATGTCCACCAAAGTTGGTAATAGGTGCTTGGTTTTTGTCTACATTTCCAATAGTTGCTAGATACATTTTTCAACATTTTTGCTAACCTTAAGTGCCATCTGTAAAACATTTTGTATAGATTTTCTTTGTACACCACCACTTTTGTAACAAAAGCATTTTAATATTCGTTTGAGTCTGGAAAATAAACTGAAAATTAGATATAGCTAAAACAATCCTCTGAATTCTGGTCAACGTTGCTGCAACATGTTCTTAATTATTACACTTACAATGTTGAGAGAAAAAAGGAAGAGCATTTCTTAAGTTAATATCCTGCTAGCCAATTATATATTAAGTAATAAAGAAATATTGTCTGTGTTTATCAATGTTGTCTATTAAAGATTGTAATCCAGTTACTCAGCATCAGTGTGGAAATGGGAGATGCATAACAATGGATTGGATCTGTGACGGTGATCCTGACTGCCTAGACAAATCAGATGAAATCAATTGTTGTAAGTAAAGTGCTTTGATAACAGACTGTTTAAGTGTAGTATCTTCATATTTAGTAGATTTCCTTGCAAATCTTATGTGAAGTACCTCATCCAGCATTATCCAAAAGTATCCTTTCAGTATGAAGTTTATATTTGCTAAATTATCTTAGTAGTATAACATTACTACATACTATGTAGACCTCTTACAAACCTGTGAACCTATGGTGGTCCTTTGCTTGTGTGTATGCCTTTGAATCAGTGTTGACTCTTGGAAATTGCCTGGTCAAATCCCTGCAGTTTTCTTGGCAAGATTTTGGAGGTAGCTGGCCCTTGTCTCCTTCCCAGTACTGGCTCAAAGTTACCTGGCTGGCTTCATGCTTAAGGTCTAGAACTCACAGTCACCTGGGTCCTGGCCCGGTGCTTTTCCTCATTATTTCAACAGTGTAACAGAAACATCCTATTTTTAATCCTATTTCTGTCATATCCCTATATCGGGTAGGCAACCTTGGCTATGCTGGCTCAGGAATTCTGGGAGTTGAAGTCCACGAGTCATAAAAGAGCCAAGGTTGCCTACCCCTGCCCTATATGAATGAAGTAACTCATTGTAATTTATGAGAAATGGAAAGTCTGTCAAGTGATCAGAACCTCTTCTTGTTTCCAGCCTGCCATAGCCAGGGACTGGTGGAATGCAGAAATGGTCAGTGTGTCCCTAGTGCTTTCCAGTGTGATGGAGACAAGGATTGCAAGGATGGAAGCGATGAAGAAAACTGCGGTGGAAGTAAGGGCAGATTTGTGTCATTCCTTGCTTAAACCGCTGGAGAAAAGATCTAAGAGCTTCCTTTGGAAAATTGCATTTCTTTTGTTCTATGGCAGTGGTTCTCAACCTGTGGGTCGGGACCCCATTTGGGGTCGAACGACCATTTCACGGGGGTCGCCAAACAAGGCTGTCCGCCATTTTTCCCCCCTTTTCTTTGGCCACGCCCCTGGCACCCGGTGATGTATAAGTGGTTGGGGGTCACCACAACATGGGGAACTGTATTATGGGGTCGCGGCATTAGAAAGGTTGAGAACCACTGTTCTATGGGTTCTTTTGAGGATGGTGGCTGAGATTGTTTGTTTGATAAATACCCCAGTGTTCAGGTGCTTTATAACTCAGAACACAATACATTGTGAGAACGTCATATGAGTTTGGGGTCTTATAATATTTCTGCGGAGAGTCACTCTTTTTCTATGTACCGTTGTTTTGATTTGTTCCTCCTTGTCAATACGGGGTGTTGTTGTTTTTTTAGAATAAATCTGTCTTGCCATTTCTCCCCTGCCCACTTTCTTTCTTTTATCATATGATATCACCATATTATTTCAATACCTTTCAGTGCATTGATTTTAAAAAAGAAAATAGTAAATATTCTGTCAATATCAATTGCCTTTCGGGATGTCATATTACAATTATATAATTATATTTAACTTCCCATCCAAAGTTGACTATAAGATAAAAAAAGAAAGAACTACTATCGCACCAAATTATTAGTTATACAACAATAATTTCAGTCTTGAAAATTAAGTTCTTCATTGTATTTCTGCTGTGTGTGTCTCTGTGTATATATATATTGGTAAAAGGAAATAATAAATAGACAAAGCAGTTTAACAAAAGTTAAAGTACTTAAAAGTTACAATGCCCAAAATGCAAAAGAAGGTAATAATAATTTTAACAAAAAGAAAGAAAAGAAGGGGAAAAAATATTGATTTCTGTCTCACCTCTTTTAATGCATTTGCTGATTTATGGTACTTGTTAGCATTTAGGCCCCCTTGAAATCGAGACAATAGATGGTTAGGTTTACCAAGCTGCCTGATATGGTGTATATATGGGAAACATTCTTGGTTAAATTTAATTTTCTGCTTTCTATTTATGCTCTTAGTTTTGCCGTCGCTGTGCATTCTCCAAGTTTAAGTTCTAAGTCAGATGTTGTCTGGGTTGTATTATTCTTCCAGTGTTGAACAAAGTACCAATGCAAGAGAATGTGTGTAGCTCAGGGTTGTTCAATCTTAGTGTATTTGGCTAGGTTGGGTATGTTATATAGTACTACTCCAATGATTCACATCTCATAGAGGGGAGACAATATTCTATGAACTCCCCTCTATAATGCCTCCAGAAAAATCAAAGACCTAAAAGCAGAAAATGACATTATGATTTCATTCAATGTCTCAGCACTCTTTACATCCATAGATCCCAAACTAGCTAAAGAATCCATGGCAGCAATACTACACAACATATCTGACCCAAGCAGAGCAGAGCAGAGCAGAGCAGAGCAGAGCAGAATAGAATAGAATAGAATAGAATAGAATAGAATAGAATAGAACTGGAAGGGACCTTGGAGGTCTTCTAGTCCAATCCCCTGCTCAGGCAAGAAACCCTATACCATTTCAGACAAGTGGTTGTTCAATATCTTCTTAAAAACTTCAAGTGTTAGAGCATTCACAACTTCTGGAGTCAGGTTGTTCTACTATTAATTGTTCTAATAGTCAGGAAATTTCTCCTTAGTTCCAGGTTGCTTCTCTCCTTGATTAGTTTCCATCCGTTGCTTCTTGTCCTGCCCCCAGGTGCTTTGGAGAATAACTTGACCCCTCCTTCTTTGTGGCAACCCCTGAGATTTTGGAACACTGCTATCATGTCACCCCTAGTCCTTCTCTTCATTAAACTAGACATACCCAATTCCAGCAACCGTTCCTTGTAAGTTTTAGCCTCCAGTCCCCTAATCAACTTTGTTGCTCTTCTCTGCACACTTTCCAGAATCTCCACATCTTTTTTACATCAAGGTGACCAAAACTGGATACAGTATTCTAAGTGTGGCCTTACCAAAGCATTATAAAGTAGTATAATTATATACATTAAGATTGAAATGTCCAGAATCATGTCTCTGCTTCACTATTTACGTTCAGTTTGATGGACAAATATGCCCAAAAGCAGCTTTGGGACAACCATGTCCTGGATGACTGTGAATCTCCATAGACATTCTTAATATGTATTTATCACATTTGCACTTTTCTTCCACATCTCCTTAACCCTGTTTTACCTTTTCCTCCTATGAAGTGCTTAAGTAAATTGAAGTTAGTTATACTGTACTGAATTTTGATATCTGCCTAGTGAATTTCCCAGGAGGATTGATAATTCATGCTGTTCTTGGGTATCAGCATCTGTCAGAGAAAAAAAACCTGTTCAGACAGAACTGGTAAGCAATTTCATAGTCCTATCTGCAGAGGTTACTGCTGTACCACCTTCTTGGTTTCATGCTCAGATGAGGCTCATTTATGCGGGCCCTGGGCTAAAACAAACAAAGACTACTTGCAAGACTCAACACATCAATTCCCACATCCGTATATCTAGACCAGTGGTTCTCAACCTATGGGTCGGGACCCCATTTGGGGTCGAATGACCATTTCATGGGGGTCATCAAACAAGGCTGTCCACCATTTTTCCCCCTTTTCTTTGGCCACGCCCCTGGCACCCAGTGATGTATAAGTGGTGGGGGGTCACCACAACATGGGGAACTGTATTATGGGGTTGCGGCATTAGAAAGGTTGAGAACCACTGATCTAGACCAACCTACTGGACTCTAACAAATGTTCTCCTGGAACATTTTGTTATGCGTTCTTGGAAGTGGGTATGTAGGGATGGGATGGCAGAAACAACAACAAGAGGAACATTTTTCCACTGTATAATATTTGCAGAGCACTTATTTTGTCTTCAATGTTCAAACTCTTTTGAAGCAGTACAAAAATACATTTTCTTACCTTGTGATGTTTGAAGGAGGTCTCCTTTGTATTGCTGCTGTGGTACATCATGAGATGATAAATGCTCTCTGTGTTTTCTTTTCCCAAAAAAATTATTTCTGGTTATCATGGAATAAATTTTATCAGCACTGAGGAATTCTCATAGAGAAAAGTCTTTTATATAGCCTAAAGTCAAGATGAAATAGAATGATAATGTTTTATTTGTGGACACACATTTGGCAAATGATATGTATAAAGATATGCCCATGCTTGAATAAACATTTCATGTGGACAAAGCATAACACAGTTATGGTAGGAATAAAAGGTCTGCTCTTATTAAAAAGAGGAACCTCTTTTTGTTTGATATTTAAGACAATTTTTTCCTAAAAGAACTCTTGAGAGTTGACATTTTGGGGCAAATAACTCAACTACCCTACTCAATGTAGCATCAGTTTAGCAAGAAAATTGCTCGTTCTAAGCCTCAGCTCAGAAGATAATCCAATTTAGTGGATTCTTACATTGGAGAAGTGAGATATTGAACAAATTTAAATCTATTATATTCTCCTGTCCAGGACAGTGAAATTCTTACAAATCCCTTTATCCAGAGACAACTTCCATCCTAACTAGCAAATACTACAGTAGTGGAATGTATGCTTTGATAAATGCATTGTGTTAGATATTAATGGGTCCGGTAGAAGATGTAGACTAGGGGTCTTCAAACTTGGCGCTTTTATGACTTGTGGACTTCAACTCCCAGAATTCCTTAGCCAGCATGGCTGGCTGAGGAATTCTGGGAGTTGAAGTCCACAAGTCATAAAAAGGCCAAGTTTGAAGACCTCTGATGTAGACTGTTGTACCTTAGCATCGCATGCTGATTGAAATCCCACCAAAACATTAGCGTTGGAAAAGTCAACATTTTCTTCCAAGATATTAACCCAAAGAGATGCTAGATTACAAGCTGAGTAGAAAACTAGTTCCATCCAATGTTTCTTGAGGGGTCCTTGGTGCTCTCTGTGCTTGGGTTTTTTTTTTTTCTTGCAGATGTTTCATTACCAAAATAAGTAAGCAACATCATCAGTGCTGATGATGTTCCCTAGTTTGGGTAATGAAACATCTGCAAGAAAACAACTGATAACTGAAGAAGCTTCTTGGATGAGAAGCGAAATGTCTTCAAGGAAAAACAAAGAAAGTCCAGTTGCCTTTTGAAAAAAACACCTTTGGGACAGCCATGACCTGGATGACTTGAGAATCTCCATAGAGATTAAGAAAGGAGCATACACAGTAGAGTGGAGATAGACTCTTCTCTTAATCCATTAACCATCTCCAGTCTGGAATGCCCCCCTCAGGACCACAAGCTAATTGGCAGAGCCAGGATTAAAGGCTCTTCCAGAAGAACAAGAGGATGGGGTGGATCTCACTTTGAGGGAGCAGAATGTTCCAGAGCAGTGGTGGCGAACCTCTGGCATGTGTGCCAGAGGTGGCACTCAGAGCCCTCTCTGTGGGCACGCACGCCATCGCCCCAGACAGTGGGATGTGGGCCAGTCTGCTCCCCTCCCCATACGCGCAGAGTCTGAGAACAGCTGCAAGAGCTGGACAGGGAGAAGGGAACCTATAAAAGGAGCAGGTTTTGGTGGAAGAGTGAATGAGCGGCCTTTGGAAGCGATGGTGGGCACCAAGTGAGCGAGCACATGGCCTTTGGAAGTGATTAATGGTGGGTTTCAAATAATTTAACAACCAGTTCATCTGGCTGCCCCACCCACCAGAGGCCCTCTGGAACTCCCCCAACCCTGCCTGGCCCCCACCATGAGCAACATCAAGGTGGCCACATTCACCACCGTAGCCATGTCCACCCAGTGTGCCACGCCCACCTGGCCCCCGGAGATAAATAAGTGGGTTTTGGTTGCAGTTTGGGCACTCGGTCTCTAAAAGGTTTGCCATCACTGTTCCAGAGGGTAGAAGTCATGGCAGAGAAAGCTCTTCTGCACCCCACCGGAACATGTCCCTTCTACTGGTGTGGGATCGGCCAATCCCATTGGGGCAAGATGGTTCCGCAGGTAACCTGGATCCAGATAAACTGCGTTATTGCAGAAGAATAATCAAGTTTACAAGAGCAGGAAAAAGGAGTATCTAGTATATGTTTTTTGTTTGCATCTATAACAACCAATTAGAAATAATCATTAGAAAAGGCATAGTCTTTTTCCTTTTTATAGACTATAGCTTGTGACAACGAACAGAATTTTGGAAGACAGATGGCTGTTGTGTTCTTATTATATAATTCACCGATAAGAGATAAGATTTTGGTTGTGGTTTTTTTGTTGTTGTTCTAGGCCAAAGATTATGCCAGGCAAGAGATCAGAAATGTAATTCAACTTCCTGTCCTGATTCTTGTAGCCAGTCTCCTCCCTGTGACACGAATAGCAGCCAAATGGATTGCAGTAAGTAGCACATTGCTTTCTGATTTTATAAAAGATTTTTTTAAAAAGAAAGATTAAAAACTAATACCAACTAATGCAGTGGTTCTCAACCTGTGGGTCGGGACCCCATTTGGGGTCGAACGACCATTTCACGGGGGCCGCCAAACAACACAGTCAGCCATTTCCCCCCCCCCTTTTCCTTAGCTGTGCTACTCCCTTTTATTCTATTGGCTTTTGAAAGCCAATAGAATAGACTCTCTTGAACAGAGTCTAATTCTATTGGCTTTCAAAAGCCAATAGGAATTGTCCAGGCTGTCTCTTCCCTGCTGAGCCCACCAAAAGCCCCAATCTGCAAATGGTACTGCAAGTTGTCTGAAGCGAAGGCGAGCTGTCTGGAAGTTTCCACCCCTCCCTGCTGAGCAACTACTAAGTAAAAGAGGGCCAGGGGTGGGAGGTGGGAGGCCGGCGGGCGCAGGGAGGGTTGCTGGCGCTCGTGGGTCCCGGCGGGTGCCTTACCTCCCTTGGGCTGGGCCAGCTGGTGGCCCAGCCGGTGCTTGGCCTGCACCGTTTCTGCCGCTGCCAGCTACGCCTCAGCTGGCGCAGGGGGCGGCACCATGCATGTGCGGTGCTCCCGGGCAGGGAAAGTCCTTGACTTACGACTGGTTGGGTAGTCCTCGATTTACGACCGGTTGGGGGTCGCGGCATTAAAAAGATTGAGAACCACTGAACTAATGTAAATTACAAAAAAAGAAAAGGAAACAAAAGAAATACAAAAAGCTAAAAGAAGGAAAAAACAGAAAAGAAAGAAAAAGAAAGAAGCCGCTTTCATTCTTCTTTACAGCATTAATAATTACATGCAACTATAAATTTATCTCTTAATCCACGGTTATATCATAAGTCTCTTCTTCCTATAATCTCTCCTCTCTAATTATTAGAATCATAAACCCTAGGTTCATTGTTTTCTGTTTCACGTAAAAAAAAAATCTCTAAAAGGTTTTCAGCCAGCAATAAACATGGATATTGTCTTTTCTCTGATCAAAAAAATCAATTTAGTCATATCAGCAAGTTCCATCACAAAGTATTGCTTTTTGAATTGTTGCCTTTTCTGTACACTTTTCTAATAGCCTTTGTGTTTTTATTACTGACAATGGCGCACTTCCCCAAAAAATACGTTTAGTTATTTGTGAGGATCAATTATCATGTATCATGTAAATGAAAACATTTTGATTCGATCAGACCCAAAAAAACTAAGTGTCACATGTTACTGCATGTAAAAAAGACACATTGTTTGTGTGTATCCTTTCCAAGTTTTTATTTTCATGTGCTTCCTGTCCTTTTTTCCAACTGGGCTTTCCTTGTTTCATAGTTTCTCAAAATACATTATGGAAGAATGAACGGTCAGATGCTCTCTGAATTTGCACTCTTGTTAATTTAAACCTATACGGTTCAAGCAAGAAACTGAAGTTAACACACACTAGAATTCAATATATGTATCCATTTTTCTTACTTTGTAGTTTCTCTAGTGATGGTCCTTATGTACATAGGGTGGGGTTTAGGAAAATTCATTGCATCAAAGAGAAAATAGTTTCTAGCCAGGTTTCATTTTTGTAAAATTTCTTGTATAAACTATGACTCTTGTAACTATCACATAAGTCTAGAGCAGTGATGGCAAACCTTTTAGAGACCGAGTGCCCAAACTGCAACCCAAAACCCACATGTATCGTAGGGTGCCGGGTGGGTATGGCCCATTGGGTGGGTATGGCCCATTGGTGGGTGTGGCCAAGTGGGTGGGCTTGGCCCATTGGCTGGGCGTGGCTTTGGTGGTAACGGCAGACTGGGTGGGACTAAAAAGTTCAATCAATCAATTCCAACTTTGCGAGACCTTTTTTTTCCCCACAACAAGTTGAAATTGATTGAACTTTTTTTGTTTTTGCACATGGCGGCGGAGGCCTAAAGCGAAAGGGTTTTATAAACCCCAGCTGAAGGCCTAGGACTGGGGCGATGGCGCGCATGCCCACAGAAAGGGCTCTGCGTGCCACCGGTGGTACGCGTGCCATAGGTTCGCCACCACGGGTCTAGAGTAATTGTTTCTGTATTATTCAATCAATTTCTGTTTTATTTTGCCCAGGTCAGTGTGAACACATTACCCTGGAATTATGCCTGAACCTGCCATACAATTATACTCATTACCCCAACTATTTAGGCCATCGGACACAGAAGGAAGCCTCTATTAGTTGGGAGTCTTCTCTCTTCCCAGCCTTGGTCCAGACTAACTGTTATAAATACCTGATGTTTTTTGCCTGTACCATCTTGGTGCCAAAATGTGATTTTCAAACAAATGAACGTATCCCACCGTGCAGGTAATGTGCTATATTATTTTTGCTCTAAAATAAATAAACAAAACACAACAGAACGTAAATTAGAACTAGCTGATTCCGCAGTGCGATTCTTGTATTCTTTCTAGTTTGGCCTTTGCAATACTTTCCTTATTGTCTTTGGCTTTCAGTACCTACGGTAGTTCCTCATCTTTCGACCTTCTTGCTGTTTTCAGCATGGGCATGTTGTGCCAGTTGTGTGATGCCATCACGATGCCTGTTCCATACTGCTTCTCCTTCCTTGCCAGTTTTATTACTGGGACTGTGTAAATGGAACCAACCAAATCTCCCATCTTTTTCTTTGGGAAGGCAGAATGCAGTTATCTGAAATCTCTACTTAAACCAGATCAAGGATTTTACGGAATAAAAGAACAATCAACGCTCATCCATATCCTCTCTATGGAGCATGTTTTAAAATGAGCATGCTGCTTATTTAAACAGGAAATGCAGTTTGCTCCTTGGTTTCCATCTAAAAATGCAAGCGCTGATTTAAGATAACTTGTGAGCCAGCACCTGACATTACCCAAGCAAGCTATGAAGGAGGCTTACATGATGAGCTCAGAACTCTTGTTAGTTTGGAGGTCTACTTACTCCTTCAGATGAGAGGGAATAATTCTTTTTTTGGTCACCACGATGTGAAAAAGATGTTGAGACTCTAGAAAGAGCGCAGAGAAGAACAACAAAGATGATCAGGGGACTGGAGGCTAAAACATACAAGGAACGGTTGCTGGAATTGGGTATGTCTAGTTTAATGAAGAGAAGGACCAGGGGGGACATGATAGCAGTGTTCCAATATCTCAAGGGCTGCCACAAAGAAGAGGGAGCCAAGCTATTCTCTAAAGTGGGTCTGCAACTTCTGGTCCGTGGATCGGCACCGGGCCGTGCCATGCCAGCAACCGGTCAGCTGAAACAAGCAAAGCCCCAACTTCTGGATGCAGGCAGCACACGAAACCACGCCCCGTCTGGTCCGTGAAAAAATCTTTTTCCACAGAACCGATCCCTGGTGCCCAAAAGGGAGTCAAGCTATTCTCCAAAGCATCTGAAGGCAGGACAAGAATCAACGATGGAAACTAAACAAAGAGAGAAGCAACTTAGAACTAAGGAGAATTTTCCTGACTGTTAGAACAATTAATCAGTGCCTCCAGAAGTTGAGAATGCTCTAACACTGGAAGTTTTTAAGAAGAGACTGGACAGCCATTTGTCTGAAATGGTATACTGTAGGGTTTCCTGCCTGAGCAGGGGGTTGGACTAGAAGACCTCCAAGGTCCCTTCTTGTTATTCTATGATATTCTATGTTGTGGAAAATATAGAATGGTTCCGAACTAGAATATATGGAACTACCTATATATGGAACTACCTATTTGAGGATTCATGGTAATAAACTCTATATATGAATGTCCAAATTGGTGATGATGCTGGGGCCAAGCTCCAGATCATAGTCAGGATGTAGTCTGTTAAGCTGTCGTATCTGACCTTCTGGACATCCATGAATTAAATCAAATCACCCTCTCTTTCTCTGCGGAAAAGGCTGCATTATTTGTATTAACAAAACCTTGTGGGGGAGAGCAACAATAAGATGTGGCCTCTGGGTTTTGAATTATATATCAGCTATGAAGCCAAGGAAAGAAGAGTAGAAATGGTGGCAAGACTTCAAAACAAATGGTTGGCTGTTAGGGGTTGTATGTGATGCTGGGCTGGAGGAACAGGCTAGAAATTCTTCTGTGTACCAGCCGTATTGCTGCGTGGCAGAACCATGCTTTGAGTAGGCTTACCATCTTTACCATCTCTATTTTGTCCCGTTCCAAACAATTATGTATCGTTTAAAAAAAAAAGAAAAGAAAAGAAATCTCGGGCCTGAGTTAGTGAATTATGGAACGTACGTATATATCGAATAATTTAGTTACTGAATTATTAAACCAAAGGTACAGATAGACCTCAAGTTATGTCCATTTGTTCAGTGACCATTCAAAGTTATGAAAAGGGTGTTGAATTTTGGGGACTTGGTGTTCTGGCTGTTGCAGCTTCTGGTCACATGGTTCTGATCCAGATTGTTGGCACCTGGCTCGCCGTTAAGATGTTGCAGTGTTCTGTGGTCACGTGATCACAATTTCTGGCATTCCCTGCTGGCTTTCAACAAATAGTCAGTGGAGAAGCTGGCACAAAATTAGAGGTTGTGGCAACGTTTGGCCCATGCTTAACAACCCATGTGGTCCTCACTTAACCAAGGCAAACGGGATGCTAGAAGTTCTGTTACTAAACAATGCAGTCACATGATGTCACACATTGCTTGGCAATGGCAATTTGCCTTTGTAAGTCGAGGACTGCCTATATCATAATATATACCCACTGTGTATGTTAATACATAGTTTTCTACCATATGACTTCTAAATTGTCTGGTTTCAGTGGGACTTGCTTTGTATATGTGAATATTTGTGGTTATGTAAGTTTATTTTTTTAGTTTATTCTATTTCCCATTCTCTTTCTTCCCCTCCCTCCCCCTTCCTTCATTCCTCTTGATCTCCTCAGGACTCTTTGTAAGCAGTCCAAGGAACGTTGTGAATCTGTTCTTGGAATTGTGGGTTTACAGTGGCCGGAGGATACTGATTGTGCTCAGTTCCCGGAAGAAAATTCGGACAATCGAACTTGCCTGCTGCCTGATGACAATGTAGAAGGTTATTTGTATTTCTCAACTTTTAACAGAATAGCAAAGTTGGAAGGACCCTGGAGGTCTTCTAGTCCAGCCTCCTGCTCAAGCAGGAGACCCCCATAGCATTTCAGACAGGTGGCTGTCCAGTCTCTTGTTAAAAGCCTCCCGTGATGGAGCACCCACAACTTCTGGAGGCAGGTTGTTCCACTGGTTCATTGTTCTCACTATTAGGAAGTTTCTCCTTAGTTCTAGGTTGCTTCTCTCCTTGATTAATTTAATCAGTAATGAATATTTCCATCTGGTAGGAGAGCATTGATTACCTGGTGCTTAAATTTTTTTCTCTCCAGTCAGATGCTATATAAAATAAGAATAAAATGAAGTTTACTTAATTAGAAAATGCAACTGTGGTAATTAACCATACATGAGAAAGTAACGGGTGGAGGTAGGTTTAATATGTTCAGATCATGCTTATCCATTTGTTAAAGAAGAAAGATAAATTATCATGGTAATCATTATGCTTAATGTCATTAAGCATAATGATTACCATGATAATTTATGAGCAAGTTAGTTTCTCTCTTAACACATTGAAAGTCTCAGTGCAATAAAATGAAGTTATACTAGACTAGAGTGTTATGGTTTATTTGTTCTTCTAAAGTTGAGTTGGGTCTGAACTGCATGATTCATCTTTTACTTTGTTTTGCTAAATGGCGCCCCAAATCTCTTACTGAAGCCCCATATTTGTGCTATTTAACCTTTAAGGCAGCAATGCCAAGAAATAAATGAATGCACATAATTATATGTAGAACTAGGCCAGCTAACTGGGATTGTCCTCATTCATTTGTTATTTCATTGTCCTGAATGGGTGCAGTCTACTAATTTCTCCCAGTCTCACATACAATAAAAACCTTTAAGGAAACACAACTCCAAGTTCTCAAGCTGTTTTTTTTTTTTAGAATCAGAAAAAAAGATATCTTTGCTTATAGAATTTTTTGTAGTTCTAACTCCACTAAATTTGTATTAAAATTAAACGGTACAACCTTTAATTAAGGAAGATATCTGGGAAGGTGCAAAATAATTGTTTTCTTACTTTGATTCTTACAGTAATATAGCTTTCAAGTTTAAGATTCAATGTTTAATATCGAACATCATTATAAACAGCTTATTTCTGAGATTTTTTTGTCTGTGGATTATTATATGTTCTGATTTTTAGCTATCCTGAGACTATCTTTGGGCTGCTTTACAGGTTGCACCCTGTACTTTAGATAGTTAAACATTCCAGACCTAAGCTGTAAAGAAAACTCCATTTGAAAAACATAGAGTTTGCAGCAGAAGCTAGTAGAATGTCCTGCTAAGCTGTTGCTCCTTCTAGTAATATTACCAAAGCTTACTGTCAACATCCAGGTCGAGGAGCCCAATAAAAGTCCAGGTTCATTCCGTTTCTGAAAACCGTACTGTTTATTGAATACACGGCATGGTAATGTCGAAGCAAAACTAACTCTGAGGTTCCCAGAGACCAGTTCATAGAATTAAACAATAATATCTCCGACCCAACCCTCACTGTCTCACATAGTTCACCTAAACAATTTCACTTTATTATGGGAACCGTCTGCTTCCTCTCCACACCTTCTGCAGTGTCCTTGGAAAGGTTTCAGGCTCTCACACCGTCTTCAGCAGAATCATAGAGGTTTCATTTCTCCATCTTAACCAAATCTTAACCAATCCTTACTCTAATGGTAAGTTGAAATGAAGAGGCACGTAGCTGCCAAAGTTTTATTCTTAACACTTACATCACTATCTCTAGAGCAGGAAAAGCAAAGTGCTTTTTTAAATTAATAAAGTCATAAATGGTTATATACACTGAGAGTGGCCAGGTGGATAAGTCTCAGAATTCAAGTTACTGGGAGGAGTTTTCTGACATTTCAGAATGATCTGAAGGATGCTGCTTTCTCTCTCTCTTTTTCTTTTATAGCTTGTATAAACCCTTCAGCACAGCAATGAGTAATAAATGATTGCTTTTTGTATTTTTCCTGGCAGAGTGCTCACCAAGTCACTTCAAATGTCGTTCGGGAAGATGCATTTTGGCGTCCAGAAGATGTGATGGACAAGCAGATTGTGAAGACGACAGTGATGAAGAGAACTGTGGTAAATGAATGAAGCAAGACTTACCACAAAGCATTGTGGATCAGAACTACTACTACTACTACTACTACTACTACTACTACTACTACTTCTTCTCCTTCTCCTCCTCCTCCTCCTCCTCCTTCTTCTTCTTCTTCTTCTTCCAGTATAGGTAGTCCTCGACTTACGACTACAATGGAGCCTTACATTTCTGTTGTTAAATGAGACCTCTGTTAAGGAAGAGTTTTGCCCATTTTATGACCTTTCTTACCACAGTGGTTTAGTGAATCACTTCAGTTGATAAGTTAGCAGCCCAGTTAGTAAATGAATCTGGTTTCCCCATTGACTTTGCTCGGCAGGTCACAAAGGGTGATCACATGACCTTGGGACACAACAACGGTCATAAATGTGAACCAGTTGCCAAGCATCTGAATTTTAATCACTGTCAGGTCCACCATTCGTTCTCTGGTGTCCTGCCATCGTGCTGAGGGGGGAATAGCATGCTTGGGGATTTTCCGCTCCTGCTGTTTGCTTGGGAATTAGGAAGGGGGACTGTCTTCGGAGACGGGACGGACTTCTTCCCGGCTGGTTTTCGCCAGGTTCCAAGGCCGTCGCGCCCTGAGTGTGAACTGTTATCTGCCTAGCACCTCAGCATTCTCAAAACATCTTCTCGGCATCATATTGGCTGCCGGTGGGCTGATCAGGGGAGTTGGGATTAGGAAACCAAAAGAATTGCTTTACGCGTTGCGTGGGACCTTCAGATTCCGCCTGACTTTACTGCATCCGGTTTCTCTCAGTAAAAGCTCTTTTGATTCAACTCAATGGATTCAAGGGTCTTGCTTTCCTGAGGGACCAGCTGGGGCAGATCTGACAAGCACGTGATTAAGAGGATGCTGCAAAAGGTCATAACTGTGAAAAACAGCCATGGGTCACTTTTTTCAGTGCCACTGTAACTTTGAACGGACACTAAATGAACTGTTGTGGTCGAGGACTATCTGTATTTATCCTTGCTATAATAGGGATTTTTTATAAATTTGAAAGTTTAGTTCACTGTTCTTCTGCCTTGGCTGTGTGTGTTTTGTAGATTTTAAATTTTTTTAACAGCGTCTTCCTTTTTAATCACCATTTTCAATTTTTGTAATTAGTATTTTTATATATTTTTGCTTTTTATTGATTGTTGTATTCTGCCCAGAGTCACTTCCCGCTTATCAAGTAAGATACAATTATATTTTTTGCAAGAAGTTTCAGCTTTAGTACATTTAGGAAACAGAAAAGGCCCAATCTGGGCACAGCAATTAATTTTTCATTGTCCTCTGGCCAGTTCTCAAAAAGAAGATTTCAAGCATCTTCTGAGATAATTCAGTTATTGCTGTACCACATTTTTGCCAAAGAATTGGAGATCAAATTAAAGGAGAACAAATATTTACAAGTCTCCCCAACTTTTTCTTTCCAGATTTTGCAGTGATATGAACTAGGCCAGTTCCCCAATTGTCTTAATCTCTCTGTTTTTGGCTTCTGAAGGATCCCATAATGGAAGTTAGTGTAAAAGTAGGAAGGTTGCAACCACCCATAATCTCTTAATTAAGTCTTCTATGTTGCATTCTCGGTTCGGGATTACAATAATATCTGAAGCTCACATTTCTCTCTCTGGTCTCTGATGATTAAAAACGTGAAGCCCTTAAGTCATCTTGTTGACGCCTACTGCCACGTACAGCATGTTTTATATTCGACACCAATCTTTTTATTATGTGGTGTGCTTTCTGATTATCATCAACCTTGACATTAAATCCTAACACTGAAACCAATTTTCTCCTGGCAGATAACACATTGACATTTGCAAGAGTCCTTGATAGAAGATAGGTTCCTAAGTTCGTAAACATAAAGAAGGTGCTAAAAGAATGTAGGTAGTCCTTGACTTAAAACAGTTCACTTCAAAGTTATAACGGTATGAAAAAAGTGACTTACAACCATTTTCCACACTTATGACCATTGCAGCATCGCCATGGTCGTGTGATTTACATTTGGATGCTTCACAACTGACTCACATTTATGACTGATTGCAGTGTCCCGGGGTCATGTGTACATATTTTGCAACCTTCCGACAAGCCAAGTCAGTGGGGGAAGCCAGATTCACTTAACAACCGTGTTACTAATTTAACAACTGCAGTGATTCATTTAAGTATGGCAAGAAAAATCATAAAACGGGGCAAAACTCGCTGAACAAATTCCTCACTCAACAAGACAAATTTTGGGCTCAATTGTGGTTGTAAGTTGAGGACTACCTGTAGCGAATAACAAAATAGCACAGTGGTTCTCAACCTGTGGGTTTGGCGACCATTTCACGGGGGTCGCCAAACAACGCAGTCCGCCATTTTTTTCCCCTTTTCCTTAGCTGTGCTACTCCCTTTTATTGTATTGGCTTTTGAAAGCCAATAGAATAGACTCTCTTGAATAGAGTCTAATTCTATTGGCTTTCAAAAGCCAATAGGAATTGTCCAGGCTGTCTCTGCCCTGCTGAGCCCGCCAAAAGTCCCATTCTGCAAACGGTGCTGCACCAGTTGAGTAGTCCTCGACTTACCACCGATTGGGAGGTCGTGGCATTAAAAAGGTTGAGACCCACTGAAATAGCAGAATATCTCACTGGATGAAAAGATCTATGATACAACAGGAAGCCTAAGAGCTGTGGTGACACAGTGGTTAGAATGCAGGTCAGTTCGATCCTGACCTGCTCAAGGTTGACTCAGCCTTCCCTCGTTCTGAGGTCGGTAAAATGAGGACCCAGATTGTTGGGGACAAGATGCTGACTCTGTAAACCACTTAGAGAGGGCTGTAAAGCACTGTGAAGCGGTATATAAGTCTAAGTACTAGTGCTATCTATGGGCTTCCCCACTGTCAGCAAAGCCAATAGTTGCTCATTGCATTTGAAGTAAAAGCTAGATTTTGGAAGAAATATGTGGGGATAGAAAGTCCTTATTTTTATGTCGAAGGCAGGGAAGCACAAGAGTGGGTGAATGATAGGACATTTCTTTGTCTACCAATCCTCTTGTTTCTCACCATTGGTCCTAATGGTCAGATGTGGAAAGACCCGGTGGCATCTCCAACAGTATTGACATCTTGGGGAAATGACATACCGTAAATGCCGGCGTATAAGGCGACTTCCGCGAGCGCTGAAATCGGCGCCAAAGACGGGGGTCATCTTATACGCCGAGTCGTCTTATACGCCGGAAATACTGGTAGTTTCCGGCATATAAGACGACGTTCTAGGAATGTTCTATAAAGACGGGGGTCATCTTATACGCCGGGTCGCCTTGTACACCGGCATTTACGGTAATATAAAAGGTTCTTTGAAGTACCCTCCCTTATGCTATTTGGTGAAATTTTTTTTGAAGGAATGGATTATATCAGTAGTCACCAACTTATGGGGACCAGGGACCGGTTCCATGGAGAGAGGTTTTGCCTGCATCCTGCTGATGGGGCTTTGCTTGTTTGTGTGGACCAGTTTGTGGCATGCCGTGGACTGGTGCTGTTCCACCAACTCCTGCATTAGTTGCTATTTTTTGTGGAGAAATTATGATATTTACCGTCATATATTCCACCCGGAACCAAGCGTTTGTGAAATTCAGACTTTTTGATACTCTAGAAATCACTTAAAAATGAAACTCTGCTTTTGAATTAATCTATTTTTAAGGTTTTAACTCCTGTAGAAGTCTATGGCAAAGTGAAATCAAAGGATATTATTAAAATGCTTTTTAAAAACTTAGGAATGACCTGCTTAACAAAGGTAATTAATTCTTCTGAATGCTGAAATGAGCTTGTTTGAGAAAAAAAAACCCATACAAATCTGACAAAATATAAATATTTCATAAATCTGCTCTGAGCCTTAATTTCCTTCACATAACGAAGTAAAAATTTAATATCAGATGACTGACATAGCTGGGCAAAAGTTCATACTGAATTTATTATAAGATCAGTTTGATTAGAAACAAATGGAGGAGACAGCGTATGTTTATTGAACACTGGTCTTAGGATATCACTGTCTACTGACATTTCACCATTTTAATGCATACAATCTTACCTCTTGCCTAAGTTTTTTAATAAATCTATACTTCCTTTTTCCTTTAACATTCTGATTTTGAAATGTTTATTAGCACAGAATCAGATCCTATCTATTTTAACAGAAAAAATTAGTACAGAATTTTCCCATTAATATGATTGAAAAGTATTTGTTAGATTATGCCTAGAGGTCACCCAAGGAATCCATGGCAATTATTGGGTGGAAATGGGGAACAACACAAAAATTATTTTGGTTGTCAGAATCTGAAATGTGAATAGATTATATGTTGTAGATACGGGCTTAATTTTAAGGTTTCAGATAATATATTTAAGTGTTGTTGCAGTTTAATATCTGTTATAGGTTGGATCTGAATTTAGTCACTTTTATTTTCAATCTTACTGATTTCACGGGCTTTGTTTTAAATATAATTTGTCTGGATCTAATTCCATACCAACATTCAAATGAAGCAAACCAATGATTTCTTAAAGATATTATAAATACCATAAATAAAGACCTTTGTCTTAACAAGCCCTTTCTTGTAATTTCAAGATTGTTTCTCAAGGTATTAAAAGTGAGAATGTCCTTTCACCCGAACATCCGTCCAAACTGACTAGCCTAACAGAATGGGTTGTGGTCTACAAAGTTGGAACATAAAGATTGAATCAGAGAGGCTTGACTGATATAAGGAAGAGCTAGAATGCATCTCTGCCTTGTTTCTGGGAAGGAATTACTTGATACACTTGGTTCTAGAACTTTCAGCCAGAAATTAACATAGCTATGGAACAGGCAACAACATCTGTGTATATCTGTGAAAGTTTGTGTTCTATCCCAGCCTATAGCCGTCCTTGTTAAAGGCACAAGGACCAAACCCCTGATAAAATAGGCTGGAGACTTTAAACAAAACAAACCCCTTTTAATATGGGTGACAAACCTGCCAAATAGTCCAAAACAGAAACAGCAAAACTCAATCCAAATGAAGGAAATAGTCCACAGGAAACACGATGAAAACAGAAAAGTAGTCACAAGCAAGACGAACAGACCAGGATCCAAAGAAGTACTTTTGCAACGGTTGCCTTCAGCAACCAGCACCGCCCACACCTCCTCTTTTTATACAGCAGTCCCAAGGCGTTGCCTCTCAGTGCCTTCTCCTTTTACCCTGGAGTTGCCATATTGACTGCTGCTGATTTACTCTTGCTAATTGACGACGTGAGCGTGCATCAATTAGCATGTCCATCAGGTGTGAGTCCTCCGAGTTTGACTCATTCTCCTCACACAGCTGAGCTTCATCAGGAACATGACTGGAAGGCCCAGGCTCTGCATCAAACCGTGAGTCCTGTAATTCATCAGAGCCTCCCTCTGCCCCTGATGGCCCTTCAAATGCCTCCTCCACCTCTTCCTCAGATTCCTCAGACTCAGCTGTTGGGAGCACAGGCTGGCACTGAATCACAACAGTTTGCTCCAGTGTCCTCTATATCCCATCTTTGGATGTCAAATCAAAAACACATTTTAAAGTCAATAAAGTCAAAAGTTCCCCAATGTGTGTATTCCTGCATTTCTATTTTAGTAGCTTATTGCCTGCTACACTAGTTCATAAAAATGATTTGTCATGTTAATTTCTTATGTCCAGGTTGCAAAGAAAGAGGTCTTTGGGAATGCCCATCCAACAAACTGTGTATTCACCATGCAATGATATGTGATGGTTTTCCAGATTGTCTTGACGATGTGGATGAAAAAAATTGCTGTAAGTGTTTTTCAAATGGCAAGGCCTGGGTTGCTTTTTTTCAGAGAGAGACAAGGACCCAGCACAGTGGTGGCGAACCTATGGCACGGGTACCAGAGGTGGCACTCAGAGCCCTCTCTGTGGGCATGCGTGCCGTCGTCCCAGTCCTAGGCCTTCAAATGGGTTTTATAAAACCTTTTCACTTTAGGCCTCCACCACTGTGTGCAAAAAAAAAAAAAAAAGGTTCAATCAATCAGTCAATTTCAACTTCTCGCGGGGAAAAAAAAAGATCTTACAAAGTTGGAATTGATTGAAATTTTTAGTCCCACCCAGTCTGCTGTTACCACTGCAGCCCCGCCCACCCAATTGGCCACAACCACCCGGCACCCAACAATGCATAAGTGGGTTTTGGGTTGCAGTTTGGGCACTCGGTCTCTAAAAGGTTCGCCATCACTGGCATAGCATGTCCTTTTTTTTAGAAAAATGATTTTAATTTTACTCATTTCATTTCCCCTTTGATACTAAGCAGTCTTCTGCCTTTGACTTTAATAATTTCTAGCTTAATTTTTTAAAATGACTGTACTTTTACTTTGTCCTGTTTCTCTCATTTTTGCTATCTGCCTCCTTCCCTTTGTCCTTTTGTCCTTTTCGTCTTGTGCTTTTGTCTGAATATCAATGACTTTTGATAAGTTTTCTGTTCTTGTCATTCTTTATGAACTTTGCGTGCTTTGCTTATTCAATGGCCACGGAACGAAGAGAGCAAAATAAATTAGGCTTTTACCTATTTTATATCCGGCTAAAATGCATTATTCAGATTTTTACAGCTGAACTTTCCGAGCAAGAGTGAGAAAGCAGAAAAGGCATGGAGATACATGCAAACATTTCTGCAAGATTTAGAATTTGCATTTCTTGGGGTTTATTTTGGAAGAAAGTCTTCTGAATTTCTATTTACTGTTTGATTTTTGTTTCTTCCCTTTAGTTATATATTTCATTCCAAGTCTTATTAGTTCATATATTTGCGTTTATTGTGCTTCATTTGATTAATTCCTTGACAAAGCCTGGAAGGCAATCAACACACTGTTGGGTGCTGATTTTATCCATGGTCACAGTGTGTGGCTCCCTAGAAGCACTTTGCACATTCATAAGAAACAGTGACTAAAGGACCTTTGTTTATTAGAACTCTTAAGAGAATTTGGTTCTGTGGAAGTTTCACTAGACCAGAGGTAGGCAACCTTGGCTCTTTTATGACTTGTGGACTTCAACTCCCAGAATTCCTGAGCCAGCCATGCTGAGGAGAAAGGGAGAGGTTTCCGAGCTGAACCGTGCTGGCTCAGGAATTCTGGGAGTTGAAGTCCACGAGTCATGAAGGGGCCAAAGTTTCCCCCATGCTGGCTCAGGAATTCTGGGAGTTGAAGTCCACGAGTCATAAAAGAGCCACGGTTGCCTATCCCTGCACTAGACAAAGGCTTCAAGGGTTGGAATATTCAGGATTTTTCATGACTTTTTTCCAGAAATGTTTCATTTGTTTATGCAGTAATGAAATGTTATTTTTCATTTCTGACTCTCTTGAATGTTGACAATTCGTGATAAAACTGCATTAAGTAGCTAATGAAGCTGGCTGTGAAAGAAGTTGCTTTGCATAATCAGGAATGAAAGTCTCTGAAAGACGGGAAATTCTTAATTCTGTAATATTTCTGTAAACTCAATCAACTTTACTGGTATCAGCAGTCCTAACATGTTACGATTGTACACAATCACAATTCTGTTCCCAATTCAGTAAAGGTTTAGCATTTTCTAGAGCAGGGGTCCCCAATCCCTGGGCCGCAGACTGGTCCCGGTCCATAGCCTTTTAGGAATCGGGTCACACAGCTGGAGATGAGCAGTGGGCAAGCGAACAAGCAAAATCACAACCATCCCCCACTCCCTGGTCCGTAGAAAAATTGTCTTCCGCGAAACCGGTCCTGGTGCCAAAAAGATTGGGGACCTCTGTTCTAGAGGATTTAAAGCTTTACGCTTCTAAATATTGTTTTCTCCCGATTTACATTTTTCATGGCAGCATTTTGCAAGAAGGATGAAATTGCATGTGCAAACCATGACTGCGTACCCCATAAGTCGTGGTGTGATGGGCGAGCAGATTGTGCCGACAAATCCGATGAATGGAGCTGTGGTAAGTTTTAAGACTTGCCCTATAATGGATATGCTAATGTGAGGACTGCTGAGGAAAAACAAACCTATGGGAAACAGATCAACCACATTTAAAGTATATGACTAATGCTGACAACCAAAGATTGTATGTCTGGTTGGTTGGCCATTGTTTCTTTCTGCTTTAATAAAAAAGCAAGTTAAAATTGGCAAACAGGACTCTAGGATGAGTAGCCTCATAAGAGTGCATTTATGTCGGTGTCCTGGGATTTTGCCTCCAAAACTCAAAATGTTAATGGCATTATATTATTTGTTCTTTCAGAACAGATGGGAATAAAATTAGACCAATCAAGCCTATGGAATCTGTCCTGGAAGCACTTCTAAAGTATTTGAAATTTCACTGTCAAAATCCAGGCCGCTTGTCACATTTTGTTAGCACAGTTTGGGGGAAAAGTGCTTTTTTTTCCTTTTTGATAGGATAGATGTGGAAATGGGATTTGCTCGGGAAGACACCTCATTCCCAGAAAATAACGTGGTGTAACCTTTTCTGCAGATGTAACCGGAATGAAAGGCCCGGCCTTTAACCTAAGAAATTTGGCCATCTCTGCTTTAGGAGAACATTGTATGAATTTTATTTATTTATTTAGTATATCATGAGAACACGACAGAAGAGAAGTAAACAAATGCGCCCAATCCACGTAACTGCATACAAAACCTCTACAGGAGTACAGCAAAGGCCTCGTAACTGGATGCCCAGTTCAGCTATTCAGAGAATTGCCTTGAGTTTCTTCATGCAGTTCTAAACAACCAGAAACCAGGCTTTCCTGCTAGAGTGGATAACATTTAAATTTTTGACAGAAAAGAGTCCCATGTGTGTAATGCTGAGTTCCCCAAAGGGCTATTTAATGTTACACACTTCTGTTTGTCATGGCTGTGAGGGTCCAAGAGGCATTATGGCTGCATCTCATCATATCTCCTATTTAGCACTGCTGAGGGAACACGTGTAGATTAAGGAATGTTACGGATGTGGGCAACTATTGCTCCCCTTGTTTCATGACTATAAAATGATGCATATTTTGTTGTTAGTTGCGAAGTCATGTCCGACCCGTCGCGACCCCATGGACAACGTTCCTCCAGGCCTTCCTGTCCTCTACCATCTTCTGGAGTCCATTTAAGTTCACGCCTACTGCTTCAGGGACTCCATCCAGCCACCTCATTCTCGGTCGTCCCCTTCTTCTATTGCCCTCAATCTTTCCCAGCATTAGGCCCTTCTCCAGTGAGTCCTTCCTTCTCATTAGGTGGCCAAAGTACTTGCGTATTTAGATGGACAGATTAGTAAACAGAAGGACATATGTATGTATCCCTTCCGACACATATGTTTAGAAAGGCTTTAATACATACCCCACTAAAAGAATAAAGTTCTTTGACAGCAGTCCTGCAGGAAACCACAGTGATACTAAAATGACTATGTGCATATGGTGTTTCTGCCATTTGACCATTGTTGTCGGAAGCTGGATGGGAAAGCTGCAAATGACCCCAGGATAATGTGACCATTGTAAATATTTGCTGGTTGCCACATGTCTGAATTTTGATCACATGACCGTGGGGATGCTGTTACAGCTGTAACTGTGAGGACAAGTCATAAATCTTTTTTTTCCAGTGCCATTGTAACTTCAAACGTTTAAACGAATGATTGTAAGCCAAGGGCTACTTGTAGTTTGATTATCTGTTTGCAGTTGGCATATTAAGCTGCATTATTGCACGATCAAATTATAGGTATTCACGCACAGTATTTGTTGGTGATCGCATATTAATTTGCAGATCTTCTGTGTCATAAGAAATCAATTAATTTGTCTTCTACCTGGAAGTATTAAAGTTAAACTTCCCTTTGTTTTTCTTTACACAGTGTCCCTATATAAAAACAGCAGCTCTTTGATGTTCCTGACTGTATCTAGGTCAGCTACCAATTATTATGTATGCGCTGATGACTGGGAAGAAAATTTAAGCCTCTTGGCATGCAAACAGATGGGTTTTGGGTAAGGTCAGTAGTTTGTAATATTGATAAATCTTAGCCTTGAATGTGACTGTAAAACGGGGACAATTTTTTGAATCTGATGTTATCTTAAGACAGGGGATCATTTAGTTTTTTACCTTTTTGTTAATTTTATAGAACTGGAATGTTCTGCTATTTGTTAACACGGGTAGGCAACCTTGGCTCTTTTATGACTCGTGGACTTCAACTCCCAGAATTCCTGAGCCAGCCATGCTGAGGGGAAAGGGAGAGGTTTCCAAGCTGAGCCAGGCTAGCTCAGGAATTCTGGGAGTTGAAGTCCACGAGTCATAAAAGAGCCGAGGTTGCCTGCCCTAGACTATTAATATAGTAGTTTATTTTTTTGTGGGAAAAAAAATCATATTTTCCCCTTAGTTCCAGTACATGTACGATGCCATATACTTGGTGAGGTTCCTGAGCCTAATATATGGTTTTTAAGTTTTGTGTGGAAGGACTATTTTTGAAGGAAACTTTTAAAAATTGCACTGAAATCAGTTTGAAGTTAGGGTTATCTTTCAGTGAGTTCTTAGGTCAGATCAATGGCTTAATCCTTTGGGAAGTTTTAAGTGATGTTAAGGTTGTGTTAGGCGTGATTGTCTCCAAAGCTAGTTTTAGGGTTAAAAATTACTATTGGTATGAAAGTGGCATTAGATTAGGTTTCTTGATTTCCATGGTTAAAAATAATGACAAAGTCTACACCTTTTGATGCAGAGTTAATTGTAGCCCTAGGCCAGTGGTTCTCAACCTTTTTAATGCCACGACCCCCAACCGGTTGTAAGTCGAGGACTAAACCAGTCGTAAGTTGAGGACTACCCAACCGGTCATAAGTCAAGGACTTTCCCTGCCCGGGAGCACCGCGAATGCGTGGTGCTGCCCCCTGCGCCGGCCAAGGCGTAGTTGGCAAGCGGCAGAGACGGAGCAGGCCGACCACCGGCTGGGCCACCAGCTGGCCCAGCCCAAGGGAGGTAAGGCACCCACCGGAAAAGGGGGAAAAAATGGCGGACAGCCTTGCTTGGCGACCCTCGTGAAATGGTCGATCGACCCCAAATGGGGTTGCGACCCATAGGTTGAGAACCGCTGCCCTAGGCGGACTGCTGGATTTAATAGATTTTATGGATACAAATTTCTATTGATTTAAGCTGCAGTTATGCTTAGGAATCGTTCAAAGAAATCTCTACTGCCATTTCATGCTAAAAGTTTTGGATATTAAAATCTATATTGAATTTCAAATTGCTTGAGAGGACTAAAGAATGAATACCGTACTTATTTATAAAAATGTATTAAATAAAGCAAGGAATCTTGATTTTCTTTAACAGGGAAAATTATACTTACTTAATTTTCCCACACATTTATTTTACATTCCTACACACATTATTTTTGTATATCAATATATTTTCAGACAAAAGCAAATACAGCAGAGCTTTTTTATATCTTTGCTAAACCAGTATGCAGTGATACGACAGAAATAATAAAATAATTACAGTTGGGGAGAATGGTTACTTCTGACTCCCAAGCAGAAATGCATGCATCTTTTTTGTTTCATGTCTCAAATGGTGAAGAAACATTTGCTCAAACAAGCACTTCCATTTCTAAATCTTAGAGAAAAATTCAGTTGAGCCAGTAAACAAATTTAAAAGTGTAAACTTAATGTATATATGCACATAGAAACATAGACAGAAAAAGAAAGAACAATTTTTTTAAAAGTTCCCAGTAGAAGGTAAAAAAACATCAAGATGGTTGCCACTGTGTAGTCAAAGGCCAATTCTTTTGAATGTGCATCACATCTAAAATTGCCAGTCTCCTTTGGATAGTCACAGCTTGCATCTTAATTTTTTTTTTTGACCTTCCCCTGCAGATGCCTGTTCCCCCCCCCCCCCACCACCCATAATTCGTTTGAATAACACATGAAACATCAACTGTGGCTTCTGTATATAACATTTTTCAAATGCTGAGATCACTTCTCACAATACTGTCAAATCCTGTGATTTAGAATAAAATAGAGCTGGAAGGGACCTTGGAGGTCTTCTAGTCCAGCCCCCTGCTTAAGCAGGAGAACCTATCATTCTCATCATTGGCATCCTTCAGTCTCGAGGGACTATGGTATCGTGGTCTGGAAAGAAGTCCTAAGGCAGTGGTTCTCAACCTGTGGGTCGGGACCCCATTTGGGGTCGAACGACCATTTCATAGGGGTCGCCAAACCATGCTGTCCGCCATTTTTTCCCCTTTCCCTAGCTGTCCTACTCCCTCTTATTGGTGGCCACACCCACTTGGGGGTCACCACAACATGGGGAACTGTATTATGGGGTCACGGCATTAGAAAGGTTGAGAACCACTGTCCTAAGGCAACATCTGGTGTAGCTAAAAAGGCCAATTCGAGAATGGCAGTCCCTTCCACACTGAGGACAGATACAAACTGTCCCCTGTCCAGCCCCCGGATTTTGCTGGTTCCGGGACTGCCTCTTCGCCTCAGCCTGCCGCACAAGTGTCTCTTCAAATTGGAGAAGGCCATGCTGCGTCTTTAGCCTCCGGGCTGAACGATCAGAGGTCAAGGATTCCCAGCTGTTAATGTCCATTTCCAAGGCCTCTTGCAGATATCCTTATATCGTAGCTCAGGTCTCCCTCTGGGGCGCTTTCTCTGCACTAGTTCTCCATACAGGAGATCTTTCAGGATCCGATCATCAACCATTCTCATGACATGCCCAAGCCAGCGTAGACGTCGCTGTTTCAATAGTGTATACATGCTAGAGATTCCAGCACATTCCAGGACTGTGCTATTTGGGACTTTGTCATGCCAGGGGATGCCGAGAATACGTCGGAGACTGCTCATATGAAAAGTGTTCAGCTTTCTCTTCTGCCATACGTGAAGAGTCCAAGACTCAACTGTAGTAAAAGAGTGTGCTCAAGACGCAGGCTCTATAGACCTGGATCTTTGAATGTTAATTTCTTATTAAGCCATACTCTCTTTGTAAGTCTGGAAAATGTGGTGGCCGCTTTACCAATACGTTTATTCAGCTCAGTATCTAAGTATCTCAGTATCTGTACCAGTGGTTCTCAACCTGTGGGTCGGGACCCCATTTGGGGTCGAACGACCATTTCACGGGGGTCGCCAAACAACGCAGTCCGCCATTTTTTCCCCCTTTTCCTTAGCTGTGCTACTCCCTTTTATTCTATTGGCTTTTGAAAGCCAATAGAATAGACTCTCTTGAATAGAGTCTAATTCTATTGGCTTTCAAAAGCCAATAGGAATTGTCCAGGCTGTCTCTGCCCTGCTGAGCCCGCCAAAAGTCCCATTCTGCAAACGGTGCTGCACCAGTTGAGTAGTCCTCGACTTACGACTGGTTGAGTAGTCCTCGACTTACAACCGGTTGGGGGGTCGCGGCATTAAAAAGGTTGAGAACCACTGATCTATACCATTTCAGATAAGTGATATAGGTTCTCCTGCTTGAGCAGGGGACTGGACTAGAACACCTCCAGGTCCCTTCCAGTTCTATTCTATTCTAAATCCCAGGATTTAATATTATTATGAGACGTGATCTCTGCATTTGTCGATTAATCTCCCCACTGTATACAGATAAACTTTGACTTACAACAGTTCATTTAGTGGCATTCAACATTACAGCGTCACTGAAAAAAGTGACTTAATGACCATTTTTCACACTTAGGACTCTTGCAGCATCCCCATGGTCACATGATATAAAGTTGTATGCTTGGCAACGGATTCATATTTATGACAGTTGTTGTGTCCCGGGATCATGGGATCACCCTTTTTCGTGAATTCTGGAAGTTGAATTCCACAAGTCATTAAGGGGCCATAGTTCCCCACCTCTGGCCCAGGCAGATGACCCAGGAACAGTCTTCCTCTGGTTTAGGCCATGGAGAATATAATGTATAAAAGCACTTTATCTGACATATGGGCCTTCATGTGGTGGTAGCCCTTGTTATGTGGCATCCCGAGGGAGAGTAAAAACAAGTTAAGATGGTGTCTGTGACTGCTCAGTGGAGCCCCCATCCCATTTTACATGCCTAGCTTCTACTATAAATAAACCCACTTAAACTAACTTGAATGTATGTGTTGTTTTTTTCCCTAGTGGACCAGCTGTGACAGAACTTATTCCAGTGTATGAGCTTCCTCTACAGGAAAAGTGGTTGAACCTACATCCTGATTGGGAGAAGAAAACTAGGTTCACACTGCATGCTCTTTTAGTAACAGGGTAAGAAATAGCTACCACAGTGTTATACTCTATGGGTGGAGAGAATATCTGGAGAGAACCTATCGGTCTTAAATGTAGCACCAAGTCAGCCCTTCAAGCTAGAGTAGACTAGGGCAGGGATAGGCAACCTTTTCACCTATTGTACCACTTTTAGGGTATGGCAACATCCGAGTACCACCAGTCGCCTAGCAAGGTGTCAAAAACTTTAAGACCCAAAAAAAAGGAAAAAAGTAATAAAAGTGCAGGTAGTCCTCGACTTACAACAATTCGCTTGGTGACTGTTCGAAGTTACAATGGCACTGAAAAAAGTGCCCTCCAAGCCACAGCCGATCAAGACACCTGCCCGCCCACCCGCGCTCTTCCTCCTGTCTGAGGTTTCCATTGTTGTGAGCATTTCTGTTGAGGATTGGCAGCGGGGGTTTGGTGGGGGGGTGTTTCGTTTTTATTCCCCCCGTCTGCTGGGTGGTTGCAGCAGGTTTTGGTCACTTCACATGACCCTGGGACACTGTGACTATCATAAATATGAATCAGTTGCCAAGCATCTGAATGTAAATCACAAGACCCTGGAGATGCTGCAACATTCCAGCTGATCGTCGCTTCTTCTGCGCTCAGCAGAAGCGCCAGGATCAGCGCCGAGCTCCAGCTGGAACCTGGCACTGATCCTGGCGCTTCCATTGAGCCCTGACAGTCCCGAAGAAGCGTAGATCCTGGCACTTTCGCTGAGCCTTGACAGCCCTGCAGTTCCAGCCATCTCTCGCTCAGGCTTGTGCGGTGCTACCACTGGTTCAGCCCATTCCCCTCCCCCACTACCCCTTTTCTAGGATGGTCGCGTACCACCTGCCAGGTGCCACTGTACCACAGGTGGTACCCATACCACTGGTTGAAAAGCCCTGGACTAGACTAGGGGTAGGCAACCTTGGCTCTTTTATGACTCGTGGACTTCAACTCCCAGAATTCCTGAGCCAGCCTGGCTCAGCTTGGAAACCTCTCCCTTTCCCCTCAGCATGGCTGGCTCGGGAATTCTGGGAGTTGAAGTCCACGAGTCATAAAAGAGCTGAGGTTGCCTACCTCTGGCCTAGGCCTAGGTGCCTTCATGACTTGTGGACTTCAACTCCCAGAATTCCTGAGCCAGCATGGCTCAGCTTGGAAACCTCTCCCTTTCCCCTCAGCATGGCTGGCTCAGGAATTCTGGGACTTGAAGTCCACGAGTCATAAAAGACCCAAGGTTGCCTACCCCTGGACTAGAGAAAACATTATGAACGGTGAAGCTACTTTTATTGTAAGGTTGAAGTAACAGAATCCTGCAAGTCTGAATACATTTTTCCCCTCTCTCTCTTTTATCTTCATAAGAACTAGGGAGGGTCAACATCTGAAGCTTTCTCAAATTATATTTCTCCTCCAGATTAAAAGTTATTTTATCTGACCATTGTCTTCAAAGTGGTTCTTCCTTCTGTCCCTCAAAGTTAATTTCTTCAGCCTATGCACATATGATAGAACTCAGATTTCCTAACAACAAGAACTGGGATGTTGTGTATAATAGCAATAGCACTTAGACTTATATACCGCTTCACAGTGCTTTACAGGCCTCTCTAAGCGGTTTACAGAGTCAGCCTCTTGCCCCCCCAACAATTTGGGCCCTCATTTTACTGACCTCAGAAGAATGGAAAGCTGAGTCACCCTTGAGCCCAGTCAGGATTGAACTCCAGGCTGTGGGGCAGAGTTAGCCTGCAATACTTCATTCTGAACACTGCACTACCGTAGACGATATAAATAGGCTTGTTTACTCAAATTGTTTCACACCCTTTTGGGTGTGATACTCCCCGTTGTGATCTGGAGGTATTCAGTGTGAATTTCCAATTGCACAGAAGCCCTCTCCATTTGTAGGCAGTCCGTGCATAAAAAGGAAATAGATTTACGGCCACAGTTGAGCCCACAATTTCTGTTGTTAAGTGAGACATTTGTTAAGTGAGTTTTACTTAACCCCATTTTACGACCTTCCTTGCCACTGTTGTTAAGTGAATCGCTTCAGTTGTTAAGTTAGTAGCCTGGTCGTTAAGTGATTCTGGCTTCCCCATTGTCAAAGGGGGATCACATGATCCCGGGACAAAGCAGCCGTTATAAATAGGTACCCGTTGCCAAGCGTCTGAATTTTAATCACGTGATCATGGGGATGCTGCAAAAGTTGTAACTGTGAAAAATAGTCATGTCACATTTTTCAGTGCTGTTGTAGCTTTGAACGGTCACTAAAGGAAGTTGAGGGCATTTGTACTTTGACTGAGTCCCACTTACAATTAAAAAAAAACTATTCGGCTTTGCTTTTCAGCTGATAGTTGATCTAGTTGCCAGTCCTGAAGACTGTTGAGAGGAATAAATGAAGCATCAAAGTACCGTATTTTCCGGCGTATAAGGCGACCCGGCGTATAAGACAACCCCTGACTTCTGTGCTGATTTCCATGCCTAGAAAGTCATCTTATACGCCGGAAGCTACCGTAATTTCCGGCGTATAAGATGACTCAGCATATAAGACGACTCCCGACTTACCACCGATTTCAACGCTTTACAAAGTAGTCTTATACGCCGGAAAATACGGTAACTGCCTTTAGAAATCAAGTGTCCTCCAGGTTCCAAGCACATATTTTAATGATACGGATAAAAGATAATAAAAGTTTTTCCAGTAGATATGATTCCTGCACTTCTACATTATGCTGATAAAACTTGAGCTTTCGTTCAGCTGTTGTTTCTACATCTAGGTTACCATGTAAAAGCAAGAATGTGGTTTCTCTCCTCTGTGCCAAAGAAGGTAAGATCATAACTCATAGAAGCATGAAGAAGTAAATTAGATACTTCCAAATTATCCACTCATTCTTGAGAGTTTAAAAAAAAACAATTCGTCGGGGAGAATAAAAGTGGAATCTTTATCAAGGGGCAGCATTTTACTTCCTGAATGGAAAAGTTATGCCTTCCAGAAGCCCAGAAACAGAATATTAAAGCAAGAACCAGAATGGTGTAAGTAAGGTCTCCTGCTTCAGCAGGGGGTTGGACTAGAAGACCTCCAAGGTCCCTCTCAACTCTATAATTCTGTTAGACCAGTGGTTCTCAACCTGTGGATCGGGACCCCATTTGGGGTCGAACGACCATTTCACGGGGGTCGCCAAACAACGCAGTCCACCATTTTCCCCCCCTTTTCCTTAGCTGTGCTACTCCCTTTTATTCTATTGGCTTTTGAAAGCCAATAGAATAGACTCTCTTGAATAGAGTCTAATTCTATTGGCTTTCAAAAGCCAATAGGAATTGTCCAGGCTGTCTCTGCCCTGCTGAGCCCGCCAAAAGTCCCATTCTGCAAACGGTGCTGCACCAGTTGAGTAGTCCTCGACTTATGACCGGTTGAGTAGTCCTCGACTTACGACCGGTTGGGGGTTGCGGCATTAAAAAGGTTGAGAACCACTGTGTTAGACTGAACTTACAGAAACGTTTAGTGTGGAGTTTTGTTTTTTTTACAGCCATTCTCCATTCCATTCACTTCCTTCCATCATTTTTCATATTTTGGATTGGATTTTTTTTTCTTTGCTTGGCATTTTTATCACTCTTTGTAGTTTTGCAAACCCCAAAACACTGTTGGCTGTGCCTTGTTCTTCTTTTTTAAGGAAGCAAAGAACTTGCTTAGGCAAATAAATGAGGTTGGGTTACTTCCTCTTGCCCAATATTCATTGAGGCTCCAAAGCACCTTATCTGCAAGTTTAGTTAGGCTAACAGAAGCTATAAAATTGGAAGGGACCTTAGAAGCTTACTACTCCAGCCTCCTGCTCAGTGCAGCAAAGTTGCCCACAATTTGACCTAATCTAAAATTTGTGTTTGGTCTTTTATTTAATCAGGATTTTTCTTACATTGTTGTTGTTAGTTGCGAAGTCGTGTCCGACCCATCGCGACCCCATGGACAACGTTCCTCCAGGCCTTCCTGTCCTCTACCATCTTCTGGAGTCCATTGAAGCTCACGCCTACTGCTTCAGTGACTCCATCCAGCCACCCCATTCTCTATCGTCCCCTTCTTCTGTTGCCTTCAATCTTTCCCAGCATTAGGCTCTTGTCCAGTGAGTCCTTCCTTCTCATTAGGTGGCCAAAATACGTTTCAACTTCAGGATCTGGCCTTCTAAAGAGCAGTCAGGGTTGATCTCCTCTAGGACTGAGTAACCAGGGGACTCACTAACATTGTTAGTGTCATTTAAGTTTAATGATATTGCAGATTTTGTACATTTACTGTGTCTCCAGGTGTACTACTTCTTATGAGATTGTTCTGGAATAGGTGCTAAAGCTTTCTAGAAAATGCAGTCACTTTTCCCCCTACTTACCAGCTGATCTTTTTCCTAAAAGATTGTGGCCGTCGCCCTGCAGCTCGGATGAGCAAGAGGATCCTCGGTGGCAGGACCAGTCGCTCAGGACGTTGGCCATGGCAGTGCTCGCTCCAGAGCGAGCCCAGTGGGCATATCTGTGGCTGTGTTCTCATAGCAAAGAAATGGGTCTTAACGGTGGCACACTGCTTTGAAGGGTGAGTAGTGCTGAGAATGCTTCAGAAATAGGATGGGCCTTGTAATTAGAGAGAGGATTCTAAGCTGGTTGGCATGATTAAAGCTTTGTGTCAACGCTGCTAACATCGGATGTTCTTGCTTTGACAGCATATGGAGATGCAGCCATTTTCCTTCTTATGTTTTACTCTTAGAATTAGAGTTAGGGTTAATAACTTACCAACTGACAAGCAAAGTCAACGGGGAAGCCAGATTCACTTAACTATCAGGTTACTAACTTATCAACTGCAGTAACAACGAGAAAGGTCATAAAAAGGGGGAAAACTCACTTAACAACAGAAATTTGGGGCTCAATTGTCGTAAGTCGAGGACTGCCTGTAATTGGTGTGCATCCAGCAGGAGAGTAAATACATAAATGACTTATCGTAGAGAGATTTAGAATCTTCACTGGTATCTTAACGCCTTCCGTTTTCCCCAAGGAGAGAAAATCCGAAGGTATGGAAAGTAGTTTTTGGCATCAACAATTTGGACCATCCTTCAGCCTTCATGCAAATCCGCCTGGTGAAAACAATTATTCTGCACCCTCGTTACAACCGTGCGGTGGTGGACTACGACATCAGCATTGTGGAGCTCAGTGAAGACATCAATGAGACCAGCTACGTCCGACCAATTTGCCTTCCCACCAGGGAGCAGCTGGTTAAGCCAAATACCTATTGCTACATTACTGGCTGGGGACACATGGGCAACAAAAGTAAGTGTCACATATCTATGTTCTCTTGCAAATCTGTTTCTCTTTTACCATAGTTGGTTTAGGTCAGGGGTAGGCCACCTTGGCTCTTTTATGACTTGTGGACTTCAACTCCCAGAATTCCTGAGCCAGCCATGCTGAGGGGACAGGGAGAGGTTTCCATGCTCAGCCATGCTGGCTCAGGAATTCTGGGAGTTGAAGTCCACGAGTCATAAAGCCGTCTAGGCCTAGGCCAGAGGTAGGCCACCTTGGCTCTTTTATGACTCGTGGACTTCAACTCCCAGAATTCCTGAGCTAGCCATGCTGAGGGGACAGGGAGAGGTTTCCAAGCTGAGCCATGCTGGCTCAGGAATTCTGGGAGTTGACGTTCATGAGTTATAAAAGAGCCAAGGTTGCCTACCCGTGGTTTAGTCGCTATAATTGCTAGTCCCCCATTTCCAGTGAACAATAAGAAGGTAGTGGGTCTACAAGCACTGTTGCATTTGAAGCAAGAAATGAAAACCCTTCCGTTGCATTAAACAAAATATCAGAACGTATGTTAGTTTTTGCTGTTCAAAAACTAGGACATATAAAAGAATCGCAATATGAATATATGCAAATGTCCACCAGGGAGAGGGATGGAACAGAAGGCTGAGATTGTGGGTGGAACTTTGTGATGCACCACCATCCCCTTAAGACATGTGTGATGTCAGTGCACAAAGGATGAAGCTTTGACCGGGCAGGTGGCCTCATTTAAAACAGCTTACTTGTAAACATTACTAACGAGAACATTGTCAATTTCAGAAAAGGCAGGCACAGCCACACTCCTCTGTATATTAATAATTCACCTGTGGAGATGGTTTCCACTATCAAATTTCTGGGTGTAGAGTTAAGGTTTGGTCGCTCAACAGCGAGACACTGGTGAAGTGGGCACAGCAGCACCTGCATTTTCTGCATCGCGTGAGAAAAGCACATCTTCCTTCCCCTGTCCTGACCACTTTCTACAGGGGGACGATCGAGAGCATCCTGTCATACAGCATCACAGTCTGATTTGGAAGCATCACTGCTTCAGACAGGAAGGCGGTGCAGAGAATGGTGAGGATGGCTGAAAGATCATTGGCAATTCCCTCCCTTCCATCCAGGACATAGCACAGAAGTGTTGTTTGAGCAGGGCCCGCAAGATTGTCTGGGACACCACACACCCTCTTCACAACCTGTTTTCCTTGTTACCTTCTGGGAGGAGGGGGGTCCGTGGTATCTGAAGCAGAACATCCAGATTCAGTAGCAGCTTTGTTCCATACAGTATTAACCTTGTGAACTCTCAGGCTTCCTCTTTCTGCTAAATATTCAAGATGGACAGTGATTCATATTTATATGTAAGGGTGTAGGTATATATATGTGTTGTATATAGCATGTTTAAATGTGTGTTATGTATGTGTACACTTTTGAGAGCAAGCAAAAAATTCATTTTTAATGTGTGCCAATGTGCTCACAGTAAAAAATGACAATAAAGGTCTGTCTGTCTGTCTGCCTGCCTGCCTGTCTATCTATCTATCTGTCTGTCTGTCTGTCTGTCTGTCTATCATCTATCTGTTGTCTATCTATAATCTGTCTATCAATCTATATCTATCTATCTATCATCTGACTGTCTATCAATCTATATCTATCATCTATCTTTCTGTCTCTGTCTGTCTGTCTCTACAATCTAGCTATCTGTCTGTCTATCTTATCATCTGTCTATCATCTGTCTGTATCTATCTATCTACCTACCTATCTTATGGAGCTGTAGATTCTGACCCAGTTGTGTTTTTTCCTTCTGCTTAGTGCCCTTCAAACTGCAGGAAGGGGAAGTGCGCATTATTTCTTTGGACCAATGTCAGTCTTACTTTGACATGAAGACCATCACAGTCAGGATGTTATGTGCAGGCTACGAGTCTGGAACTGTGGATTCTTGCATGGTAAGGCTGTTCACAAAGCGAAACCGAAAGTCCACACTTTTTGTAGACAAATGTTTAAAAGCCAGATTTTCAGATTTTTTGCTAATCAAGTTCCTTTCTTCCTTCCTTCCTCCCTCCCTCCCTCCCTCCCTTCTTTTTCTTTTTTTTGTTTGTTTTATGATTTTTTGGATGTTGTCAAGAAAATTTCCCATAGTTTTTCCTTTCCTTTCTGAGTATATTGTGTTTGAAGAAAGTATATCACAAATTTCAGGGAATAAATGCATACAGAGAATAAATTGTTCAAATAAAATACAGTAGTAATGCTTTTGAAATCTTTTTGAGATCAGCTTGCAGTCACAGTCCTAGAAGGATTCTGTTAACTAGTACAGTAGAAAAACGTCAGGTTGATCACTTCCATAGTGAGCTGGGCAGGTGGGAGTATCTGTAATGACTTGGGCTTTGACTGGTACATCCGTTACGCCTTTTCCAGACCAGAACAGCCTACTGTTGTAGTAATACTAGATTACATCAGTGATTCTCAACCGTGGCAACTTTAAGATGGGTGGACTTCAATCTTCAGAATTCCCCAAACCAGTTCAGAAGCATTGGATTACAGTAATGCTCTCTTTGTGAGATCATTTTTCTTGCAGGTTATTGACTGTAATGCAGTTTGAGTTATTCTTCTATCTGATCTAAGTCTTCATAAATGACTTAAATGAGGGATTGTCAAATGTGCAGATGATATTAAGCTGGCAAGAATTGCCAACAGCCTAGATGATAGGTTAAGTGAGAAAAAACAAAAGTGCACATACAGATTAGGTGGAAACCAGGCTTAATAGCAGTAACTGTGAGAAGGATCTTGGCGTCCTAGTGGACGATCAATTAAATATGAGTCAGCAGTATGCAGCAGCAGCCAATGGAATCCTAAGTTGCATTAACAGAGGAATTGGATCAAGATCATGTGAGGTACTAGTACCACTCTATAAAGCCTTAGTAAGGCTACACCTAGAATACTGCATTCAGTTTTGGTCACGCTATAAAAAAGATGTTGAGACTTTAGAAAGAGTGCAGAGAAGAACAACAAAGATGATTAGGGGCCTGGAAGCTAAAACATATGAAGGACAATTGCAAGAACTGGGCATGGCTAGTCTAGTGAAGAGAAGGATCAAGGGGTGACATGATAGCAGTGTTCCAATACTTGAGGGGCTGTCACCTGTTTTTCAAAGCACCCAAAGTCCAGACAAGGAACAATAGATGGAAACTGATCAAGAAGAGATTCAACCTAGAAATAAGGAGAAATTTCCTGACAGTGAGAACAATCAACCAATGGAACAGCTTGCCTTCAGAAGTTGTGTTTGCCCCATCACTGGAGACTTTCAAGAAGAGACAGCCACTTGTCAGAAATGGTATAGGGTCTCCTGCTTGAGTTGGATTAGATGACCTACAAGGTTCCTTCCAACTGTTATTTTGAAAGTGAAAGCTGCAATTAGTCAGCATTTGTTCATAAGAACATAAGCCGTGCTCTGCTAGGTCAGGCTCCTAACTCAGCTAGTCTAGCAGTCTGTTTTCTTTTATTTTCTTTTTTTTTTAATACAAATTTTATTTATAATACAATTAAAAACAAACAAACATTGGATTTAACGTGACATTCCAGTATATACATTCTTATCAGATTGTTCCACTTTTTACAATTAATTCTTCATCTCTACATATACATCTAGGTTTTATGTACAATACTTGTTCTAAAATAACATATATTTCTATCTTAACATTCATCTTTAATCCCGACCGTCCTCTTCAAATTCCTCCAGTGGTAAAATTTATCCCAGATTTCATAATAAACTGATCCATATTAGTCTTTTAATATCATTGTGAGCCTGTCCATTTCCGCACATGCTAATATTTTATGTATTAACTCTTCCTCTGTGGGAATGTCCTTGCTCTTCTATTTTTGCGCAAAAGCAAGCCTAGCTGCAGTCAGGATGTGTAGCAGCAGGTATATTGTTCCCTTGTTGTATTTTTCTGTCGTTATTCCCAACAAGTAGAGTTCAGGTTTTAACTCTAAGTCCAGTGTTAATATATCCCTCAACCAGTTTCGTGTCTTGTTCCAATACTCACAGGTCTTTGGGCATTCCCACCACATATGGTAGTATGAACCTATTGCTGTTTTACATTTCCAGCATAGGGGTGAGATGTTTGAACCCATTTTGGCTAGCCTTATGGGTGGGAAATAGCAGTCTGTTTTCATGGTGGCCGAACAACTGCACAAAGTATCCTATTAGTTTCCCAGCTGGTGGGTTTTGGTGGCAATCACATCCTGCCAGCAAGGCTAATAGCCATGGACTCCCATGATGTCAAGAAATTGATCCAGTCCATTTTTTTTAATCCAACCATGCTGTTAGTCAGTGTCACACCATGGCAGTGGATCTCAAATTTTAATTATGAGCAAAACCCCCCACCCAAACTCTTTTTTTAAATGTCTTTTAATTCTTCCAGGATTCAATTTTATTGGATTATTCCTGATTCTGAGAGTTTTGGAAGTGGGGAAATAGCTTCTCCTTGTCCACTTTAACCATACCGTGCATAATTTTGTACACCTCAATCCTTCATGACCTCTCTTTTTTCGTCTTTCTGAAATAAAAAGCCCCGAGCATTGTCACTTTTTCTCCTTCTCCAAACTGCTCCAGCCTCTGAATCATCTTAATGTCCCCCCAGTAAACATTCTCTCGCTCCACTATATCCGTTTTGAGGAGCAGCCACAAGAACTGCTCATAATATTCCAGATGTGTTTGCAGCATTGATGTACATAAGGGAGTCCTTTATAGAAGTCCAACTAATTGTTCCAAAGCAGTCATCATTTTGCTACTGTGACAGCCCAGAATTATGCCTTTTTTTCTGTTAGTTAATAAGAACCATTCAGAAGCCATCACTGTTAACAATGATCAGAGTCTAACCTAAGTTATTTTAAACTAAAATAATATCCATATTCCTACAGGGCGACAGCGGAGGACCTCTTGTGTGTGAGCAGTCAGCTGGACGCTGGACGTTATTTGGTTTGACTTCTTGGGGCTCAGTCTGTTTTTCCAAAGTTATGGGTCCCGGAGTTTATAGTAACGTGTCTCACTTTATTGAATGGATTGAAAGAGAAATCTACCTGCACACGTTTTTGATTCGCTGATGCGTTGGTGCTGCACACGCTGACCAAAAGCAATGTCCGAGGACACCGGAACAATGAAAGCGTTGGCGAAGCTGAAGACATTTGATGAATTGTCAATTTTATAGGTTGCAGATGCGAAAGCAATAGGGCAGGGTCAGAGAATGTGTAAAATCCTTCGTTGCCAGAGGTGCTTCTGAGTAACGCTCACATATTTTGCAGTTATTTCTGCCTTGTTTCTTTAGCAGTTCTGCACCCGCCTTTCACTTTTCACTCACAATTTCTAATGTTTCACGATAAGCCTTCTGCAGAAGTATTGTTTTTCTAAAACATAAAGAAAAGAGAAGAAAAACATGGCTAATAACCAAACGGGTTTTTTTTTTTAAAAAAAACCTATGATCCTCTGTCTCAAGTCCATCTGATTTTTATAAGCTGAACCCCACTGTGTTCCCCATCTGAACAGAAGGGGATGTTTCAGTGCAACTAAGTTGGATATCTGTTCAGATACAGCTGTATTATTTAAATCAGTTGTTTCTCACCCTTTCTCCCATGCTTAGATTCCTTCCCACCTTGTAGAATCAGTGCAGAACAAGCATATTGCCATAGTAATATAGAACATATTGCTTAAAAATAAATAAGTAATACAGATATTAAATTGAGACTAGCCAGAATGGTTGGATCAAATAGTCTTTATGTCATTTAACAGCTAAATGTAATAATAATGATAATATTGATAAATTAAAACTGATCTGTGACCACTGAAATCTCCGATAGACAGTTCAAATACAGGACAGTACTTGAAAGATAATAGGAAAAAGCTGCAAATGCACATGCGTGGCAATTCACGACCCAGAGAGTAATTAAGGATGCCATACAAGTAGTCCTCAACTTACAACAGTTCATTTAGTGCAGTGGTTCTCAACCTGTGGGTCGGGACCTCATTTGGGGTCGAATGACCATTTCACGGGGATCGCCAAACTATGCTGTCCGCCATTTTTTCCCCTTTTCCCTAGCTGTCCTACTCCCTCTTATTGGTGGCCACACCCACTTGGGGGTCACCACAACATGGGGAACTGTATTATGGGGTCACGGCATTAGAAAGGTTGAGAATCACTGATTTAGTGACTGTTCGAAGTTAACAGTGGCACTGAAAAATGTTAAATTATGACCGTTTTTCACACGACCATTGCCGCATCCTCACGGCCAGGTGATCGGAATTCAGGTGCTCAGCAACCGACTCATCTTTATGACGGTTGTAGTGTCCCAGAGTCGTTTTGGCAATTTTCTGACAAGCGAAGTCAAACGGGGAAGCCAGATTTCCTTAACAACTGTGTTACTAACTTAACAGCTGCAGTGATTCAGTTAACAATTGTGGCAAGAAAGGTCGTAAAATGGGGCAAAGCTCACCTTAACAACTGTCTTGACTTAGTAAGAGAAATGTGGGGCTCAGTTGTGCTTGTAATTTGAGGACTACCTCTACATGATATCTCGGAGGCATCTTCTATGATAACAAAAGGTTACCTGTGGCTATTTCTCCCTATTTGTCAAGGTGTAGCAAATCTTTCCCATTAACATTGCAATTGCTTTCTCCAAATATATATACGATATATGGCCAGCTAATAGCCTACTTTGGGAATCTTTTGAACTGTGAACTATGGCTGGAATAACTGGAAAGAAATGTCTAGGAACTTGAGAATCAGTATTGCCATTCTGAGGCTCTGCTCCTGTTGTAAGGGAATCGGGATATTTTTTTAGTGTCAAAAATGGGTTCGGTAGCTACAACAAAGCCTGGGGTATGTGTGTGGTTCTCTACTGCTGCAGAATTGGTTACAGTAGTGGCCAAACCTTTTGGGAAAAGTGTATTTTTGAAGTTTGATGGCTAACAATACCACTTTTTTGGGGGGGAGTAGTACCATAAAATTATATATCAATGGAAAAATAATTTAATCGAGAATGTAATGCAACATATTTTGTTCAATTATTTGTACTGTATTCTATGAAAAGCTATAGCCAAATAACCAGAAAAAGGAAGCACAACTTGCTTAGGTTGGTATCAGGTAGCTTTCCTTCATCCAATTGTAGCTAATGAGCATGAGTGTTTAGAGAGCCAATCAGGTGTCATCTTGTTTTGACAATGAGCCAATCAGATCACAGTAGGATTCAGCGATTGACGTCATGTATTGAAGCTGAGAGGAGGACATTGGTCAGTGTGTTATGTGATTGCTATCAAGTTGGTTGGGTTTTTTTGTGTTCTTTCATTTAGTGAGCTTGCAAAACGTAATAAAATTAAAGTAATGGTGCAAAGAGTTGACTGGTTGCCCAGAAAGCGATGTAAAATAGTATTATTAAGTGAACAAGGCTACAGTTATACATAAATTAGAAGAAAAATTGGTGGAAACTTAACCAAAGGTGGCATTTCTACTGTACACTTGTCCCAAAAGATTTCCACAGTTTTGGCCACTACTGTATGTAGAGGATCCAGAGAAGACAATAAGATGACAGCATTAATTCAAGAAGGGTTTTGTGATTACAGCTTTTATCCTTCTTTTTAATGAAGCAAATAATCTTTATTCGGTTGGTGCACTTTCAGTGATGGAGGGACACAGATATAATAAAAAGAAAATAGATTTCTATTTGGTTTTCAAATATATGGCACTAATTGCCTGGATAGCTTTTGCAGCAACACAATCAATTGCCTCGTTTTTCTTCTGTAGTGGTGTGAAATTTCTGCATATTCTAACTTTGTTTTGGCTTTCATTAAACATCTTTGAAATAGTGCTGTAATAAAACACTTTATGTCTATTCCAGAGCTGGAAATGGAAAACAATCAGATACTTCAGGACTCATCCAAAGCAGCAATTAATTTATATTAATGTGTAACAGCCATTTGCGGTATTAGCAGAGCTTTCAGTAATTGTCTACATTATTTGCCATAATAATAATAGATTTGTTGTAATTTATTTCAAGCTAATCACATTTTCAATGTTTACCAAAAGAAAAATAGCATTTAAAATAATACAGTTAATCATAAAGCTTTTATAAAATGACAAACCCTTTGCAGTTGCCATTGTACGATGTTTTAAACAGCTCTCTCAAAAGGCACCAATATTTTGGTTATTTCTGGTGATCAAAACAGTTTAGAAGTTCAGGGGGGAAAAAACCTTTCTTTTTGTTATAGAACTCAAGTATACAGTTGGTATTTCAGCCTAGAACTCTCCTGTTTTAAAATTGCCAATATTTTTTATGGATACTATTTTGCTCAGCACAATGTTCACAAATGAACAATGGATTGTATCTACCAACACGTATTGCACAGTGGGGAGAAAAGACAACAACGTTCAATGCATTTTTTTATTCTCAGATAAAAACAGGTTCAACTAAGACCCGTGGTGGGGCAGTGGTTAGAATGCAGTACTGCAGGCTAATTCTGCTGACTGCCCACTGCCAGCAGTTTGGCAGTTTGAGTCTCACCTGCTCAAGGTTGACTCAGCCTTCCATCCTTCCGAGGTCAGATTGTTGGGGGCAATAGGCTGACTCTGTAAACCGCTTAGAGAGGGCTGTAAAACTCTGTGAAGCAGCATATAAGTCTATTGCTATTGCTAACTGGGACAAAGCTGAAGTCATGGGCCACATCAAAACTCATCAGGTTTATTGAAACCTGGCATTCTACCAATGGGTCCATCAACAAACACGTAGAACCAGCATACAAACCAATAAGGAAGCAGACTATCCGAACCACCAATCAACGACATAAACAACCAACCCCTCATCAGCTGAATTTCGCACTTCACAGCAACCAATCAGAGGTCACAAAACCAGAACCAGCCTTGTGAATTACCGTATTTTCCGGTGTATAAGACGACTTTCTAAAGCCTGAAAATCTTCTCAAAAGTCAGGGGTCGTCTTATACGCAGGAATATACGGGTAGCTGTTCTCTGAATTTAAAACCAATCTGCCCCCTAGTGGCCAGCCCTATTTTTTTACAGAAATAAGCACTAACAGGACAAAGCTTTCAAGCAGCAAAGGAGCTCCTATTGTGCACATCTATAAACAGAAATTCAATATTGTACTGTATTTTCTGGCGTATAAGATGACTTTCTAAATTCTGAAAATCTTTTCAAAAGTTGGGGGTCGTCTTATACGCCCAGTTGTCTTATACGCCGGAATATACGGTAACCAGTCCTGTGAATCAACCAGTTATAAGACCAAATGGCCACCACCCAGGACCTATATAAACAAACAAAACACTTCATACAAAAAGAAAACCACTGAAGTTGTTACCAAATTTGGTAACGAAACGTTCGGGAGCCAAGGAGAAAGCAATCACTGCCTAAACAAAAAAATCCAGCAAGAAAATATTGGCATAGTTTAGAGTTGCTGAAACCCTACTATATCAAGATAAGAAATGTAGCCTTCTAGAAAAAACGAATCATCTAAAATAAGAGCCAAAGCAATGGTAATTTGAAACTTTTTTAAAAAATTAAACCCACAGATCACTAGGCCCCAGCCAAGCAGAACCCCAAATATAGATTTACAAATGATTATATAAAAGATTCATGAAAAATTGCATTGCCTAGATACGAAAAAAAATCTGTATTAACAGCAATTAATCAAATCTTGCTAATATCCCTGATTTTCATTCCTTCAATATTATTATTTTGAACTTTGTCCCTCTACGCAATTTTTTATTCAAAACTAAAATACAAACTCCCCCGAAATAACAAAAAAATAGCTAAACAAGACTGCACCAAAAAAAAAGATGCATGAACAAGACAAAACAAACACATAACATGAATTGTCCCACCTAGCTGAATACTGATAAATGTATTTCAAGGCTAATAATTCCTCACTCCTTGCAAAGCAGGTACACAATTTATAAATTTCTACAACACACACACACACCATATACAGTGCATTCAGAAAGTATTCAGACCCCCTTTTGTCAATTTTGTTATGCTGTGTTATGCCCCAGGTGGTCAAGGCAAGGCAGGTCTTTAAAGAGTCCTTTATTGCCCTCAAGAAGTGTTCAACAAACAGCCCTCCAACACTGGTGAGGCTCCACCCCACAATTCCCTGAAGGCAGCCACCTGGCAGTCCTCAAAAGTAAGGCAAAAAGGCACAAGTCAAAGCGTGTTTTGGAGTGTAAAGCAAAACAAACATCCCTGGCAAAGACTAACTTAGCATGGCTTCTCCTTAAGTTGTGTTCCTTGTGAGGAGGGGTGTAGCCTTGCAACCCTTCTCTGAGGTTGCCTCCGCTCCTCAGAATGGGGTCACTGGGGTGGAGGTATTACGAGTTCTTGTATGCAAACTCGGCCATTGCTAGCACATTTACCCAGTTGTCCTACTGTTAATTCACAAAGCACCTGAGATTGCTTGAGGATGGCATTCATCCATTCTGTATCCCCATTGATCTATTGAGCCAGCTTCTATCTATTTTATAGGCGTCCATTTGGTGTTTCTTGCCTAAGTGTAGGACCTGACTTTTCTCACCACTAAATTGCATTTTGCCAGATAGGGTCCACTGCTCAAGTCTAAAAAGGAACTTTCGAATCTTGAGTCTGTCGTCTAAAATTTTACCTATTTGGAACTTTAGGCAATTTCACACCCTTAAATTAAAGATGATTTCTATACATTAGGGCCACGTAATGTTTGCATGTTTGTAAATCACTGCTGTACATATTTTATATGTCTGCAATATTTGGAAAAAAATGTGTCACAATGGGTATATGGCTTCCTGGTTCTATCTAGTCAATATCTACGCAGGAAACCAAGACTAGGATCTGGATGTCAGAAATTACCTGTCAGAATACAGGCAGGCAATTTCTACCCTTGCGTCTTCAAAAGCCTGCCTAGTGACAATTTAAACACGGAAGTACTCAGAGCCTTGAAATAAAGAAAAACATGATTTAAATTTAGAAAAGAGATTTGAAAATGAACAATACTTTTTATTTTTAATAAGAAAAGTACAAATAATGCATAAATCTCATAATGTAAA